ATTTTGTAAATGATATTATTTTGTTTAATTGGCTCCACCGGGTCTTTTAGCCTACAGAGCTTGTCCCTGAGTGAGTTTGTAGGTTTGGATGCCACCCTAATTCCTGCTTTATTTAGAATCCTATGTGGGGAGTATCTCAAATTTCCCCTCCTTATATGGTATAACTGCTGTGGATGACTTATATTCTCTCTTATTTATGTTATCATTACTAGTTTCACAATTATTTTTATTTTGCTTTTGGCCTTATTCGATCTTCCTAATGAATTTTATGGGATAGCTATTTAACACCAACGCTTCTTCTTCTATCTGTTTTATTTCATCATTTAGGTCTTTTCTTGTGCTACTTAGAGCTACTGCTCGGTTTGTTAAACACTTAACTACGTCTGCCCACATGCTTTCATCATCTCCTCTTCACATCACCTCCTCCTCCATGTCACCTTCACACGCTGACGACCAACTCGCCGCTTCTCGTTCAGGTTCCACCCGAGAGCCTGTCGTGTGATGTCACTTGATAGCTTGTTTTCTCAGAGTATGGCCAGCCAATCCACCTCCATATCTTCCTGCTTATTTGCTGGACAATCGGTTCCTGCTGTGTTGGTTCGCTCATTGCCAGAGATCCCACCCTGTTGCTGCTATTTTCTAGCCTACCATATTGAGCGAAGACAACTAGCTGTTGATGATGGTCTGTAGTTTGCTTGAAGTGCTCGCCACAACACTAGCGGCACTGGAAATTCAAAGCTTGTGATTGATGCTCCAATCGACAAACACTCAGCAATTTTTTGAAAAATCAATGATGAATAAATAGGATTACGATTATTATTATTATTATCATTATTGCCACTGTTGTTTTATCCTGCTGTATAATGACACTCTAGAAGTAGGACACTTCCATATTACATGGAGAATTTCATCATGAGCTGACATCAGTTAAATAACCACTGGAAAACCCACCTGGAAGTACTGGACAGCTGTTTCTCCCGTCCTAGTTTGGTACTTGTCATCAGCACGCACCCATCGCCAATGTTCAAACCCAGGACATTCTGGTTACAAGACTAGCAAGCTAGCTCGTAGACCATTAAGCCACTGGGACCCGACCCAATAATCAGTCAACCCATGGATTCTAACTTCTGACAATTCATGACATAGCGCGACCATTTCGCAATGTCTTCTTCGATGAGTGAGTTACTGCCTCATCTTCAACCTGCTGCTGTACCCTACTGGTCACGGCTTCCCACTAGAGCCTGAAGATTCATGCGATGCTCACTAGCGACTGGCTTTATTCAGGTAGGCAGTTAACCTGAGGTTCTAGTGAGAAGCCGTGACCAGTAGGGTACAGCAGCAGGTTGAAGATGAGGCAGTAACTCACTCATCGAAGAAGACATTGCCGAATGGTCGCGCTATATCATGAATCGGCAGAAGCTAGAATTCAAGAATCATTGGATCGAGCCTCAGTGGTTTAATGGTCTACCAGCTCGCTGGCCTTGTGACCAAAAGGTCCTGAGTTCGAACATTGGCGGTGGGTGTGTACTGATGAGGAGTCTCAAACTAAGACGGGGGAAACAGCTGTCCAGTACTCTCAGGTGGGTTTTCTAGTGGTTCTCCAGCTGATGTCAGCTCATGATGAAATCCTCCATGCAATCAAACAAAATCCCTAAAAAAGCAATACCTAAAACTTTCATGTTAAGCATAAGATGACTAACAGATATAAAAATGCAGAACGTAAGAATAAAACCACTGAAACAAACAAAATTCATGGAAAATTCCCATTGAAACATATAGAAAATCAAAACAAGGGGTGATTCAGTCAGCGAAGAGACTCTTTTTATCATCAAGCTGTACAATTGTATACATAATACGGTTTTTAAGAAGTTATATCCAGTGAGGGAGGGAATTGAATCATAGGTGTGAATGCATAAAATAATAATAGTAATAGTATGAAATGCAATTAAAACTAAAGTGTTTGTGATTATAAGGGACTTAGCTTCCGATATCATCATGAAACGAAGGATATCACACAGTCCTTGAAAACAACATTCCCTGCTGCATCTCTGAGAATAAATAGCCTTTACTAGTCGACCATTACTGTTGTTCAATAACCTGAACAAGGACAAGATCCCGCTGTTGACCAACTCTATGTGTGTGTGTTTATCAATTCGCCTACTCGTGTGGAGCTGGGTATATCGGTTGTTCGACTCGAGTTTTGTCCGATAGGGCGCAAGAACACTATCCCCTGCATGGTAGTTACGAAGAGGTGGAAGTGGAGCAATAAGAAGCGCGATATTGAACATATATGGTCGATAATGATCACCCTATAGCCTCTACCTTGAAAGTCATCTACAAGGCGAAAAGTAAAATACCCACATCACGACGTACTCGACTCATCTGTTGTATTGCTGAAGCCATCTTTGGCTATCAAAACAGAAAAGCCAGTTCTCTGTGTACAGAAAAAGTTCGTTCAACCCCTCCAACTTTCATGGTGTTATGATCCCTCTATATGCTAAAGTATGGTAATCCCCAATCATATTTTAGCACTACCAATTTTTCATTTTGTCTATTCAATTTGTATACTCTTCCTTAATTACAATGTCAATTGTTACTATTGCTATTGCTATCCTCACTTTGAACTGTCCCCGGTATTATTTCACTTGTCCCACTTGTCATTCTAAATCAATTCTTCTTTTTTACAACATTGAATTCTCTGCTATCAAAATTCACACAATATTACGTGACGTTTTAATTTAATTTTATTCGATTTGTCTACTAATCCTATAACTGCTCACCCTTTGTAAGTCCTATCCATCCTATGAATTATTCTATATATGTGACATTAATTGCTTCGCTACTTGATATTTAACTATGATTATTATCACAAACATTTTAGTTTTAATTGCATTTCATACTATTATTATTATTATTATTATTATTTTATGCATTCACTCAGACCTATGATTCAATTCCCTTTCTCACCGGATATAACTTCTTAAAAAAACCATATGTGTATATACGATTGCACAGCTTGATGTGAATAAATTCGTTGTTGAAAAGAGTCGCTTCGCTGAATAAAAATCACCCCTTGTTTTGACAAAAACAAATTTAACACCTTTCTTTTTAATACACGAATAACTATGGTATGACATTGTCAAAATAAACCGTAAGTAGCATATATATGGTAGACAGTAATAGACAACAAATAACAGAACAAACAGAACTAGAGTTGTACAACTCACGGGATATTTTAATTTTTTTTCTATCACTTTGTTTATTTATTAGTTTACTATCTGCATATACTTAAAAAATAAGATAACTAAAAAGATAAAGATCTCAAATGCCACACATTTTAGGTCATTCCTAGGTAATAGATGGTAATAAAGTAAAACGCACTACAAATTGTTTGTGTTAAAACAATCCAGCATTCACGGAAGTCTAATACTAGTACTTTTGGCACGTAAACACTATCACCAAAGCAATAAGGAGAGTTTGATGATATTAGATAGTTGGAGGTAATCGGCTAGAGGAAGTCTTATCCGGACCTAGGTTTCGTGCTAGTTGGCACTCACCAGTCAGTCAGTCAGTCAGCAAGGCATATCTGCAATCACATTGAAGGAACTCATGTTCCACCTTCTGAGATTCGAACCCGCGTCACCCAGTGCTGCCCTGCAGTCAGAGACGTTACCACTGAGCTATTCGGGCTCGCGATTGACGTCCTGTAGGACTGTAGTTGGTATTTTCATTGGACACTAGTAACTAGTGTGATGTGTCCGATCCTTTCTATGGTGCAGACTGAATTCTATCAGTCAGGTTTTGCAATGTGGCCACTAGACTAGGACTAAACACTTCACACTAGTTACTAGTGTCCAATGAAAATACCCACTATAGTCCTACAAGAGGTCAATCGCGAGCCCGAATAGCTCAATGGTAACGTCTCTGACTGCAGGGCAGCACTGGGTGACGCGGGTTCGATTCTCAGAAGGTGGGACATGAGCTGTTCCTTCAGTGTGGTTGCAGATATGCCTTGCTGACTGACTGACTGACTGACTGGTGAGTGCCAACTAGCACGAAACGTAGGTCCGGGCAAGGCTTCCTCTGCCGCCGATTGCTTCCAACTATCTAATATCATCACAAACAATGTACACCGTGATGGCGAGCTACCTAGTGTTATGCTGGCCACATTGCAAACCTGACTGACTGACTGATAGAATTCAGTCTGCACCAAAGAAAGCACTAGACACGTCACACTAGTTACTAGCGTCCAATAAAAATAAGGAGAGTTCTATGCGCTCATGGAAGTGTATCACCAAAAAACCAGTCCCCCGCCCCCAACTTTGCATACCATGAAAGCGCTGATTTCTTCCTAAACTATATCTGAAAGTAACAAAGTATTGGTGTTGGATAACCCCACAAAATCTTAGCAACACAACTGCTTGAGGTCGCACACACACACACGCATAAATGGAATTCGGTCTACTACAAGAGACGTCATCAATACAAAGGGACTGACAAAAAGTAAGTTGAGATTTATACCTTTTTGGGATCACAACCTTGTCTAATCGATCTTCTGCAGACCTTAAATGGTAGTGTAGTATATAGCCCATATTGAGGAAAACTGCTTTTAGTCAGAGCATTGCCGCATAAACTTTCTCAGGTAATAAGATCTGCGAAACCGTGTACTGCTAGCAGCATAGCTCATTGGGTCATTGTGATGCACAAACCCTTCTTAATGTGGTATTTTGAGGCGTCATATGTCGTTAGGGAGGAAATCGTAAGGGACGAGGATATTCCCTCCCACCCAACCCCCACCCCGCCCTAAGAACGAGTATTCTTCAATCGTCAAACTTCTCTATGTAATACATGTAAGATTTTATTTCGTAATTTTTTTCTTTCTGGAAAGCTTAGTTTATGTACATTTAAGAAATTGAAGCAATGAACACTAAAGGGACTTTGTGTCTACCAACACTTTGGAATTCACCAAAAAATAGTAAAAGAAATAATAAAACATCAATTTACCCGTAAAATAGAAAAAACCGTCGGCTTACTTTATTTGCTGAACGAGGTATGAAGAGATCAGAACTTGACGAGGATGTAGTACTGGCACGTATTGGTGATTTCTTTTTAGGTAGTTGCTTAACATTTGACTTTGGAAATGTAGAATGATAAAAATTGTAAAATAAAAAAGTTATTGATTATATTAAATTATATTCTAACTGATTAACAATGCCTATTAAAATTTTTTTCAAAAGAATGGATAGATACTGAACAAAGAATATAATAAATACTCTTTTCGATAACCCCTTCATCATCATCATCAGGCTCTACAGTTTTATATCCATCCATCCATTATAGTGAATGAAGGAATGAATTAGTGTTATGAACAACAACATGAATGTTGCTGTTTAAATAACATCGAATCAATAATAATAATGATAATAATAATAATAATACCAGTGGATTACAGCTCAGTAACATCAACATAACAATAAGCTGAATGTCAGAAGAATTAGGAGAGATAATATTACAAATTCATGAATTTATGGCCTCTTCTGAAGGCCGGTCAGGGCAGTAGTAGGGGCTGGACTTTTTTCTTTTGTCATATTCCTGCGCATATTTGACATGAATGTCGTCATTAATATTATTATTATTATCACTACTACTACTATCATTAATTATTTTATTTTTATATTTACATTTCCCTACATGCTTTCTGACTAATTTATCAGGGTAATTATCAAGTTTCAAGGCTTCTCTTATATATCTCACTTCCTGTCTTAGATTTTCCGTGATGCTACTTAGATTTTGTGCTCTGTCACTTAAACATTTCACCAATCCTGTTTTTACTAACATAGATTGGGTGGGATGATCGGAAGTCTAAATATCTGTTTGAGTGTGTGGGTTTCCTGTAAACAAACACTGGCGTGTTTAACTTCTCATCTTCTTTCCTTTTCATGCCACAATCTAACATTGGAAGCTCCCCCGCTTCCTGACTTTCCAATTCATCATAAGTGAATTGAATTGCCTCCACATTTGAGTTAGTTAATATGTTTGAAAAATCTGTCTATATCTTGTGTTCTAAGTACAGTAAATGTGTCATCTACATACTTCCACCATAGCACTGCATGCAGTTACACACAACCATACAATAGATGGGATGGGATAGGATGACAATTTTAAAATCTAATGTCACAGGGTGGATGGAGGGAGAGATCGATAACAGAAGCTTTGTTTATCAAATCAACTGAAGAGAATACGTGTAATAGAAATGATTCAACACCTGTCCAGCCAGATATCTGGAAAATTCTACTACCCCAATGACGACGACAAATAGGAGAGGACAAAGAAAACTAGAAAAACTCAAGTTTCGAAGTCGTGTGATTATAATTGGTGATGTGTATAATTATGAACAGCAATAATGATGAATTGTGTTCGAAACAACTTTGTCATCCAGTAAATACTAATGCGGTTTCACTCACTGACTGACTGTGTGTGATAAATCCATCTAATAAACAAACTAACATGGAAACCAAGACTATCTATCTCACATCAAATAGTCTCACTACCACTAACCGATTAACTATCTCTCAGCTAAAGATATTATATATTCACAACTTTGAAAACACATTTATTATATCATCGATACATTGTAAGCAATGCTACAACCATCTCTATATAAAAAAATCCCAATTTAGACATTCTGAAAACGGAAAGATTGAGTGAAGATATTTGTACTTTTCAATTAGATCCTCATCACTGGCTCTACCCTAATATACATATATCCTTGACAAGTTTAATGATGCACATTCAGCAATAAACTTTACCATAGAGAAAGAAAGTAATGACAGTATCTCATTCCTAGACGTCTCCATGGCAAGGAAAGAAGATGGCACATTAAGGAGTTTGTATAGGTAACCTACAACAACAGGTCAGTACACTCATTTTTTCAGTTTTGTACTCTTGCAATATAAACACGTAACCTGATAAAGTGTCTGGTTCATAGAGCTAAGCTAATCTGTTCAAACAACTGCCTCAGTGAGGAGCTTAAGATTATTAGAGAATTACTTAGAAAAATGGTTATCCCGATAAATTCATTGAGAGAAATATGAATTCAGCACCAAGGAGAGTCAATATGGCTACAGTTTCGAAGAAACCAATGTTCATATAATTGCAGTTTCTTGGTGACAACATCAGTGAAATAATAACACAGCGAACACCTGAAGAATGCAGTTAAAAGAGACTACTATGTAACAGAGGTACGTTGTCTCTTCACAACCACCCCTATTCTACGTTCGAGAAATAAGGATAAACTACCTAAATTTGCCTCGTCTATGTGTATCTGTCAGTTTGACTGCAGCCATGGGGGGCGTACAATTAGGCAGGTTCATCATCGTATTTCCGAACATCATCCATCATGGTTAAGCAAGGGACAAACAAGATCTATTCGTAGTTCTATTTCCGCACACCTTGTTGATACTGAGCACAAGGTTGATGTGAATACTGCATTTAAAATTATTTATCGCATTCCTACTAACTTTAATTTTCCTCTACGAGTTCGTCTTCTACATACGACAGCTGAAGCAATCGGAATCCACGTTAAGAAGCCAAACCTATGTGTGTTCAGAAGAATTTTGTCCAGCCACTTTCCTTACCGTGGCCATCTCTAGAAGAATGTATAAACCGGAGTACTTCGCCCCCCTCCCCTAAACCTCTAAAAATTATAATTGTCCAAATTATTTTATTTGTTTTTTTCTGACTACTTCATCTTTAATTACGTGTTATCCTTGGAAAATTAATTTATTCTAACCATTTCTACCTTTTAAATGTGTCTATGCTAATTTTCTTCGTTAATTATCAACCCATTGACCTTTTGACACTGTCTAATTATTGTAAACAAACATATCAGTGCCACTTGATTGGTAAACTGTTGTGTATTGTAATAAAAATGCGATACGTGTATATTAGAGTAGAGCCAGAGTGAGATGCGGGAGGATCTAATTGAAAAGTAAATATTTCTTCGCTGCTCAATCTTTCTGTTTTCTAAATCTCCATATAAGACTGAATGAACGAATGAATATGACGCAGACAACTTTAGAAACGATTCCTCCTGGTGAATGGTGCATGTCAGTGAAAGTACACTAACTAATATTATATGTAAGCATATATATAATATAATATAATATAATTCAAATGTGAAACATACTACCTCACCTTATTTTTTGAACGTGGTATAAAAAGTTCCGATCCAGAAGAGGATGCGCGTACAGGTGACTTGAACGGAAAACAAAGATGATTCTCACCACTACTACCTTGATTCTCATCTAACTGCATTCACAAAAAAACAAAAAACAGAATTAAAAGATTTTATCAAAAGGTATACCACTTTCAGGGTTATTTTTTTAAAAAGAATGAACACTCAACAAGAAGTACTCCTTTCGATAACCCCTTCATCATCAGGCTCTACAACTATATGTTTATGTCCCAAATATTGGTCGTGAGAACGATAAGAACAAAGACTTTGTGTAGGCGGATACTGTTAGCATATAGATGATCTGACCTTCCAGAAACAGACACAACGAGATGACAGAATAACTTTCAGCGAGAAACCACCACCAATCAGAAGACTGTGTTTGTCTGCTAACAATAATCTATAATAATTATGTACATGATAATCTATAAATATGTGTGTTGATTTCCTTAATAAACGATCTGTTGCCTGGTCGTTGTCTTTCGTTGGTACACTAATACTAGGAAGGAGGCAAAACTAATCTCGGATGCATGCATGGTAGCAGGAAGTTATGGAACTTGGAAAGTCGTCTAAACAACTTATTAGGTGATATTGTAAGGAAGAAAAGACGGATGTGGCTCGAGGGAAAGACTGATTGTAGGTGCATAAATTTGTTATATACCATATCTCTCATGCTTGTGTGGAGGTTAACAGCACTACTCAGCATGAAAAATAAGATCCGGATTTTCAACTCCAATCTGAAGTCAGTCAGTGCTACTCACCATACGGATCAGAGACTTGGTCAGCGCATCATAAACAGCATCTCAGACAAACTACAGACCTTCATCAACAGTTGTCGCTCAATACTCAAGATCACATGGCCAGCCAGAAAAGATGAGTGACAGGGAGGGATCTCTGGGAGCGAACCAACACAGCAGGAACCGATTGTGCAACAAATATATCCTGGAAGAAATGGAGGTGGATTGGCTGGCCATACTCTGAGAAAACAAACCATCAAGTGAGTGACATCACTAGACAAGCCATTGCTCGAGTGGAACCCGACCGAATGGGAGGCGGCGAGTTGGTCGTCAGTGTAAGGGTGACATGGAGTGGAGGAGGTGATGTGATGAGATGATGAAAGCATGTGAGCAGACTTAGAGCCAGGTGAAAACTTTAGCAGAGAACCGAATGCAATGGAGACGTGTGCGGCTGTAGCCCTATGTTCCTCTAGGAATTAAAGGAAATAATAATAATAACTTAAGTATAATTTTCAAAAGAATGGATACTGAACAAAGAGTACTCTTTTCGATAACCCCTTCATCATCAGGCTCTACAATTATATATAGATTATAGTGAAAGTGGAGAAAAGGACTACTCACCGTCTGTAAACAAGAAGAAGCCTCTTTATATATACGACTACAATTCATGGGCGATTGATATACCAAGCAAGATAATTACAAGGAAATTAAGAAAATCAGTTCAAAGGACTTTTAATACTGGCGGCGAACTACACGTATTATTCTCTACATGACGCATGGTGATCCCTCGACTGAAAGATGAAGTACCTAGACTAGACTAGTTGGCCACTTCAAATTGTATCTACCAATTCAACTGCAACTGTGTTTTTGCTTGTTGTGGAGCGAGTTATATTGGCCGTTGTTGCTCTAGAAACTTGATTTTTCGTGCTCGCTCACTCGCTCGAGAACATCTCTCACTATGGCTAAGTAAAGGTGTAGTGAAAACCATCACCAACACGCCCATTAAAATAACTTTCCAAAGAATGGATATTGAGTACTCCTTTCGATAACCCCTTCATCATCAGGTTCTACAGTTACATAACCATTCATTATAGTGAATGAATGAATGAATCAGTGTTATGAACGACATTAATGTTTAAATAACATCGAGTCAATAATATTAATAGATTACAGCTAAATAGCATCAACATAAAATGAGCTGAATGTCAGTTGAATTAGGAAAGATAATATTACAAATTCATGAATTTATAGCCTCCACTCACTGAAGGCCAGCCAGGGCAGTAGTAGGGGTTGGCTGGCTGTTGGATTCCATATTAACAAGCCTAGTTTGTGCATCCAAACGAGGTCAGTTCAGTTCAGTTATCCTTACCCGCTTAACCATCTAGATTTGAATGATCCTCAATTTATTGTGGAATTTTCCTAAATTTAGTTGATATTCTATTTTCTACTATAACTTTATCATAATTATTATTATAATTTAAGCATCTTTAATGAACTGTGGTAATACCATTGTGATCTTACTTTACAAATTGATATTATTTAAAAATCACATTAATATTGTTGTTGACTACTAATCTAAAATATTCTGTGTATATAACCATATACGCATGTAATTGTAGAGGGAGAAGAGGAGGAGGAACTTATTGAAAAGGATATTCTTTGCTGACTCAATTATATTTTGTGTTTTATTGATAGATGTCTGAATGAATATTTTTGCTATATTGAAACCAAATATTTAATCAAGATCTTAATAAAAACAATATTGCAGCTTACATACATCATGTGACAGTGATTTCTTTAATGCATTATATATATCAATAAGGAAAAAAATAGAAATCTCATTTAATAAATCATAAATTTGGAACGGCAGACAGATACTAGTATAAAATGAACAATAACCGAAGATGAAGTGAAAACCTGAGTCACTACTGTAGGAGTGTGACATGAGCAGTCTAAGCATGAGTTGGCTGACTGCTGCTGCTAGCTGGATTCAACATAGAACTTGCCACCGAAGTGCACCAGTTCCAGTTGCCACCTTCCAAATAGCACACAAAGGTAGACAAGAAGATGGATGAGTGAAGAGAATCAATCAATAGAGTTTTGACAAGTATAAGAGTGAAACAGAATGAGTAATGGTAGAAAGGAATATGAAAGATTACACAGGAGACTGAATACATCTGTGTAAGACATTGACAACGATTTTCAGCCATGTCACCTATTGTCTCTCTCCAGCCATTGATTCTTAGAGTCCCGAGGGCGGGCCCCAACCCGGAAGTCTGCATCTCCCTCCCTCCCTACCTGACTCAGTTTAACTGTCAGGGATTTCATGGATTGATGAGGCCATGTTTTTGTTTGGCATGGCACCACTTACTCTTTTCCAACCTGCACCTATATCAGCTAGTAATGCCCGTCGGGAGGGGGAGGCTATGATTACGCATGCGCAGCACGTGACCTAGTCATCTCAATCTATGAAACTTTATAGCATCTTCGATTGATTTTCCCTCTTTGCCCAACACTCTACGCCTAACGTCAACATTACTTACCTTATTATGCCACCACCTAACGTGAGAAAGAGATCGTAGACATCTATGATCAAAAACTAAGCATGAGTGGCCTGGGAAATATAAGAAAACCGGCAAAATTAAACTTTAAGCACCATTAACTAACTACCAACCAGTGAATGACGTCGAACTCCGTAACCTTGTGAAGGAGGCATTTTCGTGTATGGAATATATATATTTATGAAATAGTGCATAAAAACTGTAGAAGTGTTACAGAGGATACCTTGCTCTTACATGTGATAGAAATAAAGCGAAGTTCAACAGCAGCATCCAAGGAGCGCGAATGCTCCATCCAATGACCTTGAACGCGTGCTAACCATTGGCTCTTAGTTTTAGAATATCAGCAGAGTATAATTCCACTGTGGGTAAAACTTATTTTGATAGTCTCACAGTATAATAGAGAAATATTTCATGAGCAGTAAATTGTACTCGAAACGTGGTCATCAGTAAATATTACTACTGTACAACGCCCTGAGACTTTACCAAAATAAATGTTACCCACAATGGAACTATACTCTACCACAGTACACAAGTTCTATTCTTATATCAACAGAGTAACTTAACCACATTCTATGCATGCAATTATTTAGGTCTTCTAAACCTAACAGTAACCCTAATCTTTCCTGAACACCTAACCCCAGCGTGAAAATATCACTAAACTGACTGTAGTCTAACTTGAACCAACTCCTAATGTTGCTTTTATTAGGTTAACCTAACCCTAGCCTGTCCTTGGCGGCTTCGATCAGCATATTTTATTGCTGATGATAACATAATTTGCCAGGTTTCATCGCCTCGTTCAGTGAGCGTTTCAAGGTCATTGGTGCGATCGCACTCCAATGGTAGTCAGCCAGTGGTGCTTTAAGAAGTTTAACTTGGCCAGAAAACAAACTTTTTACGATATAAATGCTATGCCCTCCCTGTACGCCTAAAAGTTGTACTGTTTCTCTGATAAGGTCATGAGCCATTAAAAACAATTTGAAACTCTGATTGTCATTCACGGTAATTTACGCATATTAAAAAAAAAACAAATTATATCCCTGGTTATAAATATATATTATAAGCTAGAGGAAAAAGCAAATACCAATTAAATTAATTATCATCATTATTACCTTAGGTTGGGCAAAATCTGAATTCGATGTAGACATACTGCTTGAACGAAAAATAGATTTTGAACTGGCTGCATGTGGCGCATGAGATGATGATGAGTCCGTTATCGGTGGAGATATCGACGATAAGGAATCACTTGTTTTCACCTGTAAATTGTTGTTTTTAATTTGCACAAAAGTTTAAAAACAAAAAGTAAAAAAAATTTTGATCAAGGCTTATTGAGATTTTAAAACAAGCAATAAAGGTTAATAAAGCAGGATAATTTAATGAATTCATCGAATTTCAGTAGAACTCGTCAGCTGCTCAGTACTCTACATACACGGATATAAGCATACATACTTTTGAAATTGCATTGGGAGATATAATACTGATAAGCGAGCAAATAAACTACATTGAATTAGTCATGCAGAAAGACAGGTGGGAATGTTTTCCAGGTCAGGAAGTTCATTAATAAATACTCTAAAGAAATTAGCCCCCTGAAGAAATCTGTCTATATCAGTTGGTCATTCAAAGGAGATCGGACGAAGACTCGATAAAGCTATCAGGCGAACTCATTATACTGCAAAATTTGTTTTCCTTAACACCACCACGAAGCGAGTGCTTCAACAATCTGGGAAAAATCAGTCGCCAATCCTGGACACTTCAAACTGCGAATATCAATTTGATGAGTGTATTTGTGGCAGCAAATACGCATAGCTCGTACAGAAAGGCGATTTTCTACCCATCGCATGATGGAGCATTTGCCAGTATGGTTGAAAACAACTGAATGCGCGCAAAGTGCCAAAAATACCTCAACAACAAAACATCTTGTGGACTATGGACATGATATCGACGCGCTGTCGTGTCATTCCCACTGCTATTGTCAGCAGACAAAAAAAAACAGGAAGATGCTTGCAATTGCCGCCGAGGAGGCTTGTGAAATTCGAGTTTATAAACCAGGTCTCCAGGTGTACAAAAGGAGGTCGATGGTCGTCACTTTGAATCTACCATAGTAATATGTATTACTTATTATTCTACCTCTTATTCTCATTATTATTATTCTTGATTCATTTAAAACTATCCCCTAATCAGTAGCATTATCTTAACTCACTTCAACATTATTATTATTATTATAACTGTTACTAGTGATATTACTCTGTCTACAATTCTTGATATATTCTCTAATGACTAATTGTTTATCTAAGTGATGTGTAATTGAAGCGTAATGCATTTTACCTTAATTTTGATCTCTCATACTCTCTTCCTCCGCTTATCTATTTGAACATGAACTGGAAAACATTCGCACCTGTCTTTCTGCATGACTGATTCAATGTAGTTTATTTGCTCGCTTATCAGTCTTATATCTCCTAATGTAATTTCAAAAGTATATATATATATATATATATTCATCCGTGCATGTAGAGTACTGAGCAGCTGATAAAGCAATAAGAAGACGTAATTTGTCTGAATCGTGTTAATGTTGTATTTGCGCAACACATTTCGAACAATCAGATCCACACACACACGGACTTGTCATAGGAATATATATGAAATTAATAAAGAGGTAAGAGGTGAGAAAATAGACTTAGGTCAAGTTTAAAGGACATATTCAAGGTCAAAGTAACAATGAAGACCACTAAACCAAATAACAGAGGTAATAGTACATCTGCCCTGGTTGGTATCAAAACAAAATTTACCAAGGAAGGTTTAATGTGATGACAAATTGTTTTTGAACGCATAAAGGTGACTTAAACTTTCTAATTGCTAGGGCTTCCACAAACTTTAGGATACGCCCCAAACACGTTTTATAGATAGGATTAAAAGATGTGTTAACGTCAATTTTATGTCCTGTCTCTATAATATGTTTCGCAACAGAAGAGCTAGGTCTCCTGTTCTCACCGTTAATAGGTTCTGAAAATTCCATTTGTTTCTGGAGCCATTTAGGAATATGCTCTGAAGCCATCCCTCACTTGCAGAGATCGATGAGTCCTCCCTATGAATGTGTGTCCACACGTACATTCAAATTGGTAAATACAGTGGGATGTGACATCATTTTTCGCATGTTCGAAGGGCTTAGATAGATATATTGGCTTTACATTCTCTATTATTATGATATTGGCTGCATAAAAAGTCTTTTTGACAGCAGCGTTCAGTCTTTGTCTAGTTATCAAGCTGCTTTGATGCCCCATATAGGGTAGCTTGATGTACACGTCTTTCATAGGGGCGAGCTGGAGAGTGGGTCTTGGTGTTCTGTCTACTTTATATCTCCTGATGAACTTGTCTGGATAATTGTTATCAACCAGAGTTTGTGTCAACATTCTTTCTTCCGCATCAAGTGTGTCTTCAGTGCATATTCGTTGGATTCTACTGAAAAGGCACCTTAGTAAGGCTCTTTTGTACCGAACAGGGCAGAAACTGTGGTAATTAAGATACTGGCCTGTCGATATAGGTTTTCTATAAATAGATCTTTTTATTGACCCATCAAGGCGTCCGCTGACTAAGCGATATGTCTAGGAAAGATAAACAATTATCTTCATCATAAAGGGAACTAATTGTTTTATATATATATATATATATTAGGGTACATTCACTTCAGAGTGGAAATTGAAATATACATATATTTTACTACATGCTGCTTGCTGCTAACCATCATCGTTTAAATTCTGTGAACCGCCGCCTTTAATAGGAAAAATGAACATAGTGAATGTTAGCAACAGAAACAACTTTTAGACCAAAAAAAACATACCTACCTACCTACCTGTTCAGCACTACAACTAGTCGGTTTCAGTAGACAACTCAATTCCGCGATTAATTTTGCATTATCCTTCTGTAATCGATGATAGGCAGCTTCAATATTCACGTTATTTATCTGGAGAGGATCATGTTTTGTTGTTGTGGAGAAAAAAAGGGTTACACATCTTTTAGCAAGTGTGACATCAACGATATGATTTCATACATAAATATATAGAACTGTAAAAAGTTGATTTTTACAACACTATTGTCGAGACCTTCATGAAAGAATATCTTGCATTGTAACTGAGACCAACTGAGACGAACTTAACTTGTGGTGAGAGCTGGCTGCTAGCCAAAGTTGGTAGAGGACAGTAATCGACGTCAATATTTATGTCCCCAATATTGGTGGTGGTGAGAAAATGAGAACAAAGGCTTTGCGTAGGCGGATACAGTTAGCATATGCATGATCTGACGCAGCCACAAAGAGATGCAAGGTTAACTTTCTGTGAGAAACAACCAATCAAAAGACTGTGTTTATCTACTAACAATAATCTACAAAAATGTACATTGAAATCTATAAATAATACGTGTTGATTTTCCTTAATAAACGATCTGTTGCCTGGCCCTTGTCTTCTGTGCGGTGAGACGTGGCCATTGAGAGCGGAAGACATGAAGAGATTGTCTGTTTTTGACCACAGATGTTTACGATCTCTTTCTCACGTTAGGTGGCATAATAAGGTAAGTAATGTTGACGTTAGGTTAGGCGTAGAGTGTTGGGCAAAGAGGGAAAATCAATCGAAGAGCCTATAAAGTTACATAGATTGAGATGGCTAGGTCACGTGCTGCGTAACCATCGCCTCCCCCTCCCGACGGGCATTACTAGCTGATATAGGTGCAGGTTGGAAAAGAGTAAATGGTGCCATGCCAAACAAAAACATGGCCTCATCAATCCATGAAATCCTTGACAGTTAAACTGAGTCAGTCAGGTAGGGAGATGCAGACTTCCGGGTTGGGGCCCACCCTCGGGACTGTAAGAATCAATGGCTGGAGACAGACAATAGGTGACATGGCTCGAATTCGTTGTCAATGGCTTACGCAGATGTATTCAGTCTCTTGTGTAATCTTTCATATTCCTTTCTACCATTACTCATTCTGTTTCACTCTTATACTTGTCAAAACTCTATTGATTCTCTTCACTCATCCATCTTCTTGTCTACCTTTGTGTGGTATTTGGAACGTGGCAACTCGAACTGGTGCACTTCGGTGCGAAGTTCTATGTTGAATTCAGCCAGCCAGCCTTGTCTTCTGTTGTTACAAACTTAGTAGACATAAGGAAAAAGAAATACCTTCGTGAAAGAATATCTTGCATTTTTATCCACCTCGAAGAAGAAATACGTACGACTTCCTACTAGATAGCATGAAGATACGGACTACTGGCGAAGAGTGCCGACAACTTAGGTGCCCAAGACTTCCTCCTCCTTCTGACCGATAGCTGCTACCTGGACGCGGTGGTGATGGTCGGGCGGCTTGCACATCGCGATGACCCAACAACAAGCTCCACACTGGCTGGAACCAATGTTTCTGCAGGTCCTACCTACCATGCCAGGAAGGTTGTTAGGACAGTGAGATTAGACTAAAACCAGTTACCGGCATAGTGTAAGAGCAGGGGTGTAACAGTAGTGAGGTGTTTCCCTCTCAGATGTTGACCACCATCACCATCATTGACCAGAAATACAATGATTGTTGGACGCCGGTAAGAATGCCTATGTTCTAGAATCTATCAAAGGATGAAGATATGATCAGTCAGTACACCCTCTTCCTGGCCTAAAACCTGCCTGGTTTTATCGTGTTTGTGCCTCTCGAGCACCACTTAGTTTACGCAGTATTATTGAGCCTAGGATTTTACATACTATATTAGTCAAGCTAATTCCTCTGTGATTATCACAAGAAGACTTGTCTCCCTTCTTGTATATATATTTTTTACGTGGCACACTTCACTTTCTAACACTTTATAATTATTTTTCCTAGGGCAGTTCACTGATATTATATTGGCTGGCTCAATTCAAAACAAGATATCAAAAATGTGATGGCAAAATTAAACAGTGCCCCACTAGACTGACTTACTGATCATTTATGAAGTATAATACTAGGTGGTTCAGAATTTGCTTCACCTAAATCTCCGCCTCACCTAGATTACTAGCTCGCTAGTTTTCTAGCCGGTCCCAAGCCCGGATAAAGAGGGAAGAGGGTTGGGGCGTAGTGCTAGCAACTCCACCCCCAAAACTTCACCAAATTGTTACAGAAACTTCAACGCATAAATATATTAAAAATACTAAAAATATCAACAATAACCTTATTTTTCGCTGGAATCGGGGAAGTGAAATGACGCAGGCTGGTGGAAGCCTTCAGGAAGCCAGTCAGCCGATGTGCCTACCTTCTTTCGATGAAAGCGAAAATAAGGATGGGGACGTGGAATGTTCGTACAATGTACGAAGCTGGAAACGCAGCCCAGGTAGCCGCAGAAATGAGAAGATATGGAATAGAAGCGTTGGGAATCTGCGAGAGTAGATGGGACGGATGTGGATGGTGCCAACTACCAACTGGAGAGACAATAATCTACTCCGGTCACCACCAGCACACCGAGGGAGTGGCCATCATGATGTCACCAACAGCAACCAAAGCTCTCATACAGTGGGAACCAATCTCCTCTAGGATAATTACAGCTAGGTTCAACTCAAAAGGAAGGAAGGTAACTGTCTTCACTCTATACTGAAGATCAGATGGCCGGAAAGAACAAGAACCAACAAGAAACTATGGGAACAAACAAACAAAACAAGAACCAATCGCTCAACAAATATGCAGGATAAAGTGAAGATGGATTGGACACTCGCTGAGGAGGCCGTTGGGTGACATCGCGCGTCAGGCCATCGCTGGAGTGGAACCCAAAAGGGAAGCGGCGAGCAGTGGGAGGTCCAAGGGTGACATGGAGGAGATCATGTGAAGTGGAGTTGAAACAGTATGGACTAACATGGATGCAGGTGAAAAGTACAGCAGACGACAGAGGCAAGTGAAGACGTGCAATTGAAGCCCTACGTTCCACTAGGAACCCAAGGGAATAATAATAATAATAATAAAATCATCACCGTATGTGTTAGAAAATATTTTGATTTTCAAGAAAACAAGCAAAATAAAAAAAAGGCGAATTGAGAAGTTTAGCTACAACAACAACAACACATAAGGCGATACAACTGCGACCCCAGATTTACGTTAATTATGAAGGGAAATAATATTTGAACATGGAATAGTACAGAAATATCAGTCACATAGGGCATGTCATGTGTCTTTGATCAATGATGATAGTACACTAAAACTTGAACAAAATATGAGCCAGTACCACCAACCACACAAAAATAAAATTTGGACGATCTGGACTTCACCGATGTGACATATATATGTCTGATTTCCCACAAACTTGAAGATATGCAAGTGAAAAGCAGCAACAAGTTGGCAGAAGTAGCATCAAAGATAGGACTCCAAGTAAACATAGAGAAAACAGAGGTGATGAAGATTCCTGGGAAACAACAACAGACAACAATCAGTATAAATGGGAGGAACCTGAAAGAAACAACCTCCTTCATGTACCCACCACGTACCCGGGAAGCATCGTTTCAACTACAGGCCGACAGAACTGACGAGGATATCGAAGCAGTGAGGATCGGGAAAGCAAGACAAGCTTTCATTACTCTCAAGTCTGTGTGGTGGTTAACAGCACCCAGCATCAAAAATAAGATCCGGATTTTCAACTCCAGTGTGAAGTCAGTCAGTACTTCTTGCTATATGGATCAGATACTTGGCCAGCGCGTCATAAACAGCACCTCAAACAAACTGAAGACCTTCATCAACAGCTGTCTTCGCTCAAGATCAGATGGCCGGCTAGAAAAGATCAGCAACAGGGTGGAAGAAATGGAGGCGGATTGGCTGGCCATACTCTGAGAAAACAAACCATCAAGTGAGTGACATCACTAGATAAGCCATTGCTCGAGTGGAACCCGACCGAATGGGAAGCGACGAGTTGGTCATCAGTGTGAGGGTGACTTCGAGGAGGAGGAGGAGGTCATGTGAAGAGGAGATGAGATGAAAGCATGTGAGCAGACTTGGTTGGAGCCAGGTGAAAACTTTAGCAGAGAACCGAATGCAATGGAGACGTGCGCGGCTAAAGAAGCCCTATATTCCTCTAAGAATTAAAGGAAACAATAATAATAATGATAATAATAATAATAATAATAACCAACCTTTACATTAAAACGGCTATCAAATATCACATTGTGAGTATTGTCCATTCGGTAGACTATTGCAGACACATTTATAGCTAAAATGGAGTCAGTGGAATGCACCAAATCATTCATTTTGACCAGGTTTTGTTTTACAGGATTTTTTGATGACGACGTCATTATTATTGATGAACTTCCGTCGTTTTCGCCTGAAAATTTCAAACGTTACAAGGATTACTTGTTCTTCATACTGATGCGTCACTTATTTTATCTGAATTATCAATAATATGCTACTTGAAATTTCTTCAGTTTTGTAAAGACGTTACTTAGAAAACTAAGACGAATATACAAAATAAGCTGAAGAGTTCAATTGATGATCGAAACCGCGTAAATGTCTTTCCGGTGAATCCTGATAAGTATGTTACAAATCTTTCTGATATTACTCTGTTTACTCATCAGAAAGAAGCATTATCCTTTGGACTCAAATTTTGTGTTCCTCGCACTCACTTTACGGATTTAGCCATACATGCTGAGTTTGAAAACTTATATGACCAACTCAAACCTCTTGCCACAACATCCGATGAAGATCGGGGTTGATTTAAGGCCAAGATGGTGGATATAGCTAATCAGTTTTTAAACAACAACCCAAAGGAGAAAAGCATTTTAAATTCACAGCGTTTCAAAGCCTTGAAAGAGCTACGGGAAAATTCTAATATAATTATTACGAAACCTGAAAAAGGTTCTAAAGTCGTTATTATGAATAAAAGTGACTACAATTCTAAAATGATGTCTATTCTTGGTGATAAAAGCAAATTTAGCTGTGATCCCTCCTCAGAAGATATTCAGTTGTTGCAGGGCACAGTGACAGCTAATCTACTGAAGCTTCAAGGCCTAAATGCTATAAGTAAAGATAAATTTGACTCATTGAAACCATCAGATTGTAAATTTCCGCATATGTATGGCTTGCCAAAAATACATAAACCCAATAATCCTATACGTCCTATACTGTCAATGTGCAAATCTCCAACACATAAACTTGCTAAATGGTTAGTAGAATTATTGCATCCAGTTAAAACACAATTCTGTAAGTATGTGTTAAAAGATACATTTGAATTGGTTGATTTTCTTGACAATAGTAATATTAATATTATGAATAAGAATATGTACTCTTTTGATGTAAACTCGTTATTCACTACTTGTGCCTTTGCTCAAAACAGTTGACATTTTGTGTGATTATATTTCCACAAACAATTTTTTCATCCCATTCCCTATATCTTATTTAAGGGATTTATTACTTCTATGTACTAGCAATGTTAGGTTTACATTTGAAGGCGATTGTTTCCGCCAAGTTGATGGTGTTGCAATGGGAAGTCCGTTAGGGCCCCTTTTAGCAGATATTTATATGTCGTACATTGAGAATTTATCGGAGGATTTAATCGAAAATGTGCCACTTTATAGAAGGTATGTAGATGATATTGTAATCATCAGTGATAAGTCTTGTTCTGCCACCTCAATTTTAAATCGAATGAATGAAGTCCAGAATAGCATATCACTTACATCTGTAGAAGAGGAAGATAATTGTTTATCTTTCCTAGACATATTGCTTAGTCGACGGCTTGATGGGTCAATAAAAAGATCTATTTATAGAAAACCTACCTGGACAGGACAGTATCTTAATTACCACAGTTTCTGCCCTGTTCGGTACAAAAGAGCCTTAGTGAGTGAGGTGCCTCTTCAGTAGAATCCAACGAATATGCACTGAAGACACACTTGATGCGGAAGAAAGAATGTTGACACAAACTCTGGTTGATAACAATTATCCAGACAAGTTCATCAGGAGATATAAAGTAGTCAGAACACCAAGACCCACTCTCCAGCTCGCCCCTAAGAAAGACGTGTACATCAAGCTATCCTATATGGGGCATCAAAGCAGCTTGATAACTAGACAAAGACTGAACGCTGCTGTCAAAAAGACTTTTTATGCAGCTAATATCATAATAATAGAGAATGTAAAGCTAATATATCCATCATCTAAGCCCTTCGAACATGCGAAAAATGATGTCACATCCCACTGTATTTACCAATTTGAATGTACGTGTGGACACACATACATAGGGAGGACTCATCGATCTCTGCAAGTAAGGGCTTCAGAGCATATTCCTAAATGGTTCCAGAAACAAATGGAATCTTCAGAACCTATTAACGGTGAGAACAGGAGACCTAGCTCTTCTATTGAGAAACATATTACACAGGAGACAGGACATAAAATTGACGTTAACACATCTTTTAAACCTATCTATAAAACGTGTTTGGGGCGTATCCTAAAGTTTGTGGAAGCCCTAGCAATTAGAAAGTTTAAGCCACCTTTATGCGTTCAAAAACAATTCGTCATTACATTAAACCTTCCTTGGTAAATTTTGTTTTGACACCATAGCAGATGTACTATTACCTCTGTTATTTGGTTTAGTGGTCTTCATTGTTACTTTGACCTTGAATATGTCCTCCTTTTAACTTGACCTAAGTCTATTTTCTCATCTCTTATCTCTTTATTAATTTCATATATATTCCTATGACAAGTCAGTGTGTTCACACAATGTATAGCATAAATACATAACACGATTCAGACAGACCGATTACGTCTTCTTATTGCTTTATCTAAATTCATAAAGGGAACTAATTGTTTTAAAGATATAATAATTACTTGACGCATGTCTTATGCATAGAAATGTACCAACCTATATGGTCAGATGACTCACCATCATCATTGTATGAAATCTCATGATCATGTAAGGCAGAGGTATCCTCCCCCTCCTCCTCGTCCTCGTCACCACCACCACCACCACCACCATCAGTGCTATTCAATAAGACTGAAGCAGAATTCGGCAATCGTGTCAACGACGAGGAATGCGATACTAATCCAGATAAGAAAGGACTGTTGGTTGAATTAGCTATATAATAAAATAAATGAAGTTGAGAATTAAATTAAATTCAATAAATAAAAAAATAAATAAAAATACTTTACAATCGGATTACGTATGTATGTACATAATATATATAGTCTCAAAATAATTAGTCTTCATTGGAAATGAGAAATACAAGTTAAAATAAAAAACAAACAAAATGACAAGGAAATGATGCATAAGAAAGACAATAATAATTAACAGGAATTAGCCAGCTGGCGGTGGCATACCGGTTAGAACACTCGCCGACCATGCACATGGTCCGGGGTTCGATCCCCGGCCGGCCACCGACGCACTCCTTTACCTCGCTAAGCCAGAATGCAATGCTGGTGAAGAGGAAAGATTGAGCATGAGGTTGGCTAGCAACCCCATCCTGTAAAAATGAACATCACTGCTAAAGAAACTTCAAGCCACTAGCTTGAAGGTGCCCTATGTTCCACTGCGGAACGTGTAGGGAAAAATAAAGGCTGGTGGCATTTAAACTTACAAACTGACTCATTCAGACAGGGACAAGCTCTGTAGGCTAAGCGCAGTAGGATCCCGTCGGTTGACCCAATTAGACAAAATAATATTAGTGACAAAATGCCTTGCAATGACTGTGAGTTAGGTCAACTACCTACAAAGGTGAAACAGACTAGTAGGTCGGGCGGGGTAATCAGATTGTTGGAACATAAGAATTCAGTGGCTAAGGGAAGAATGATTGACCCCAACCGAGAAGATAAGTAATTTAGAAAAAATAACTCAGCACTACATTGCACTGCATGCATGCATTAACACACAACCACACAATAGCATGGTGGGTGGGAGAGGGTTAAGATTCTAAGAAGTAATCTATGTTGGTGGGGAGAGAAAGAGAGGTTGATTACTGAATCCTTGTTCATTGAATCTACACCCAACACATGCAATAGGAATGATTCATCACTCATACCCGAAATAAGGAAAATATTACTACCAATCAAATCAAACGAAAATCAAGTGAAAAACAATGGAACTATATAAATGAATTTAGGAAGTCGTGTGATTACCTTGATATGATTATGAGCAGTAATAAATTGTGCTCGAAACGTGGTCATCAGTAAACATTACTGTATAACACAACACTGTGAGACTTTATCAAAACAAAATTTACCCGCAATGGAATTACACTCTACCACCATAGTGCACAAGTTTTATTCTTATATTAAATAATTAACACCAATCTGGACAATGTAATCACATATAGGGATAACCCTGGAGTCAGGTTAAGCATAACAGCAAAATGGCTTTCGTACAACACTGGGGGGGGGCGGGCTGATTTCACGGATGGCTATCACCACCTCACTATATATATATATATATATATATATATATATATATATATATAATTCAATAAGCGCCTCTGACAGTTTTAAAGACGGTCCTAAAAGCTACTTCTATATTGATCTTATCATGCATATCAGGTGTGTTTTGCTACCGGCGAGTTCAGCAGCCAGCCAGCCACGTGAGCCTGAAGACGTTTCACAGTACGACTATTTTTCAAGCCATTTAGGTATGCATGTATGTATGTTCTCCCACCGCCAACATGCAAGCAAGGCATCATTACTCCTCCTCACAATGTATGCATTCACACACACACACTGACACAACACGGAATGTGACGTTATCACTTGTGCAATGTTGAGGCGCCGCCTGTGGTAGGGCATCTTTTTGACCCTTCAATAAATTTCGATAGGACTATTAGAAATCATTTCTCCTTTCTTTCTTTCTTTCTTACTCAAAGAAACAATGTGTAAAAATGCTAAACCAAGTGCTTTCAACTGGTTCGATGAGTCACACACTCGGCCTGATAAAGAACATTGACCAGATATGTTCACTCATACCATTTTAACTAAACTTCGTACACCCGTTTGATTGAATACAAGCATACTGTAAATAAGGTGGGTTTTCTTTTTATGGAAAAGATGCCGTTGTCAACAAATCCTCTCCTCCTCTGGGAAATGCAGGGCGACACTGCTGCTCCACAACTCCCAATTAATAATGTGTCTAACCACAGGAAACAGAACATCTCAACGAAAAATTGCTAACACGGTGAATTGTGAAACACGGTGATTACATAAACATTGCACATGGCCCACCTATTACTTGCTTCTAGTTTATTAAAACAGGTGTGTGTGTGTTATAGACTGATGACCCCCCCCCCTGTAGGGTGAGGTCAGTGATGAATCTTTTTAAACTATTTCAGAACCACTCATTGTCTGTTGGATCAAAATTTTCGCCTGAATTATCTGTCTGTCTATCTGTTTTCGACATAGAACTTTGCACATATGTGCGGCAGTTCAAGTCGCCACACTCCTTGTAGCACACAAAGGAAGTGAAGAAAGTAGGAGAAATGCATAATAGAGAGACAGTAAACAGAGGTGTGAGACAAAGGTATAGTAATAACGAATAACAATATAGTTTCATTGAAAATCACAAGTCACTAGGAGTGGATGCATCTGTGCCAGCCAACCATCATTGAGAACGGTTTTGAGCCGGCCATATGACCAATTGTTTCCAGCCTTCATTAGTCTTTACCGTCCCAAGGACCCCAACCAGACAGTCAGGAAGTCTACACCTTCCTACGTGGCTTAGACTAACTGTTGTAGATTTCATTGACTGGTGAAGCCATGTTTTCGTTTGACCACCGTTAGCTCTTTTCCAGCCTGACTTATGAGGAGAGATCTGCCTTCACTCCATCTTCAATGTCTATTGTAACAGTGTCACGCATACTAAATCAATGCACCGTAGCACAGATTCCTCTACAACCCGCTTCCTCCTCACTTTGTGTTTCACACGTCGAGACAATAATAACCCCTAGTCTAATCTTACTATCATTGTCATATTCTTATTAGTATACACTTATTCTTCAAAAGCCTAATGATTGGAATGGATGGATACTTCTAATCTCATCTCCCATACTTCTAGTTGGTGAGTTAAGTGAAGCGCGTTCATAAAATACTCAATGAATATACGATCCAGTTCCAGACTGATTCAATTATTATTACAAGTAAACGCTTTTTTATTTTCAAAATCAGATAACACATGCTCACTTATCACAAATCTGTTTCCGATAGCCCTAAAAAACACAAAAACCACAATGTCAGGGTCACTATGGTCATTAATAATGGTCAATCAATGGATGGTGGCATAGCGGTCAGGACGCTCGCCGACAATGCACATGGTCCGGGGTTCGATCCCCGACCACCGACGCACTCCTTTACCTCGCTAAGCCAGAAATAATGCTGGTAAAGAGGAAAGGTTGGGCATGAGGCTAGCAACCCCATCCTGTAAAAATAAACACTGCTACAGAAACTTCAAGCCACTGGCTTGAAGCCCTATGTTCCACTGGGGAACGTGAAGAAAAACAAATCTGCGGAAACAAAGAAACTGCAACCAACCACCACAGTGTGTGTGTGTGTGTAAACGTCAGTATAATCACAATATGAACTAACTGATTGACCCTAGCAGCAGCTGTTACACCTTAAACAACAACAACAACAACAGACTTTTATTTGTGTGGAGGAGGAGGAGAACAATTAAAACTTACTGATAATTTTGTGCGTATTCAACGGCTCAGATAAACGCATAGAATGCTGGTGGTTAGGGACCTCGTCGAATAGGTCTTGGTCTTGTGTGTGACCCAAAGATTTTCCTCCACGATTCTGTAAAATTTGTTAATGACAATGGCATGAATTACAACATAACTAAAATCAACACTAATTATTAATTTCTAAAGCAACTTTGGGATAAAACAGGGACTCTTTAAAAAGAAAAAACAATTCTAACTTTAACAGATGACAATTTACATTTTGTAACAGCACAAACGTAAAAAAAGAAAAACGGGAGAGAAGTGCGCTGTGCAAGAAATAAACACCCACCCTGTGGAAGTCAGTCAGTCAGTCGGGTATTTCACTGACAATAGAGAAAAACAACAAGCCAACACCTTACACAAAGAACTTCGGTTATACACCCCAGAAACGTTAGCAGGAAATGCAGATTTATTATGTGGCTTAGTGTTGACGACTTAGTTGTAATATATTTTAATCCAAGTAGCAATACGATTTCTCATGAGGACTAATACTACTCTTGGCATATATTCGTCCTTTCACTCGCCTAACACTTTTCTTGGTGCAGTGCCTCGAACTAGACAGCAACCTGTGCGCTGTTAAAGCTCACGTTGTCTTCCCTGTTGGCTAATATTACACAGCCTCCAAAACCTCAGGATGGTCGGGGGTGGGTGCCTTGCGCTGCGGGTTGGCCACCCCTCCGCACACCTCTTGAAGTGCCCCCATATGACCGGGCGTCTTACATAGCCTCTCCTCAGGAAGCCCTACTCACTGCCTTCACGTGGCGGAGGTGTCTTTCACCAAAGTGAGAGGGCGAAAGCGGATGCCCGGCGCTCTTCACCGGGTTGAATGTCCATTGGATGACAGTCTAGGGGAGATGGCTAAACCCTGATTCCAAACCTCCAACGACTGGCGTATGAAGCTCACTAGAGCTCACCGGCAGACGTATGGACAAAGGGCTTGTTGGATGTCCTGGATGTCTGGCCCCATTGAAAAAGGCGTATGAACCGAACTCCGGTCACCGGCTGCCAATGGATAGTGGACTCCCTACTCCACTCCTACTGCCTTGTAGGTCACACTTGGTTGTGTAAAGGCTAGAGCTGCACTCTCAAACAGAAGGCCAAGCGATTCTGGGGACATCACTCGTACCAAATTCCCATGAAACTTCATGAACTATCTTACAAACGGATTCGAGATGTTCATGAAGCCGGCTCATCCTCCCGTAGGAGATAGCCGAAGTAAAGTAAAGTAAGTAAGTAATATTACACATTGGTGAATAATAATAACAGCTTTATTCCAAACAGTATTTGTGGTACAGGTGTGGAATTTTCAGCGTGCATTACAATATTGCATCTAATTACCTCTTAAATTTTATAAGATTTTAAAAACAAAAAGCAACAACAACAAAAAGAAAAAAAGAAAAAGAAAAGAAATATAAAAGAACAGCATTGCATTCACATATTTAAACAATGCACCACAGGATATGAAATATAAAATTAGTGCGTAATAGAATATGTGAGCAACAATATAATAGTAACGCAGAAAGGAGAACAAAAGCTAATGGGAACTATTTGTTAGAGTGCCGCAGTAAGTTGATCGTGTCATACCCCTAACGGATTTCTCATCACATAATAACAGCTGTGCCAGATAAGGTATTGTGGAGTATTTGTACTTGGTAGTCCTAGCATATAGCCTCCTATATTTGCTTCTAGTTCTACCAGATGAAATGCAAGGAGAGAGCTGCGTATTTAGAGAGGATGCTCGGTGTCTGACAATAAAGAATTCGCTAGTTTCTTATATGACATTATATGTCTATACACAATGGTGTTAACCAGTTGGTTTAACGAAATCCCACTTCCTCTACTAACAGCTTTTAGTGCCCTTCTCAGCAAAGCAAAATCCTTCTTAAGTAGTCCGGGAAAGATTATTGGGGAGCAGCAAAGAGGGATGAGTAGAATACAAGAATTGACAAACTGAGAAAGCAAAGACTGCTTTATACCAGACTGCCTTAACTTCCTAACGTAGAACGTTAAGCGAAACATCTTTCTAGTAACTAGCAAGATGTGAGAGGACCAGGAAAGATCGGAGGAAATACCCAGTCCAAGGTACTTGACATTAGATGTAGTTTCAACCTCTATGCCGTCAAGTGACACTGCGAAGACAAACTATGACCTGAGACACCCATCGCTATCATTTCAGGGGTGATTTGTACAGTCGGTAGATGGATTTATCTTTTAACGCCAAGTAGCCCGTAAACCTCTTCTTCTCGCTAAGTTACTAAAAGAGGAAAAGCAAGGTTGAATTATACAGCACTTTTTGCTCTCTATAATACATTGCAAGCCAAGCAGTGTACGTAGAACAGAATTCACTAGCGAGAAATTGACTGCAAAGACGTGTGTTGCATTATCAAGCAGATTTACACACACACACAATTTTGTGACGGTAATTTAGACACGAATGACGATTTCGATGATATATCTCTGATTTCCCACAAATTGGAAGATATGCAAGCGAAGCATCCACAGAAGATAGGACTTCCTTCAGGTGAACATAGAGAAATCAGATGTAGATGATGAAGATTCCTGGCAAACAACAACGACAACAGACAAGAATCAGCCAGCATAAATGGGAGGACCCTGAAATAAAAAACCTCCTTCACCTACCCACCACCTAGCTGGGAAGCATCGTTTCAACTACAGGCCAACGGAACTGAAGACGATATCAAAGCGGTGAGGATCGGGAAAGCAAGACAAGCTTTCACTACTCTCAAGTCTGTGTGGAGGTCAACAGCACCCAGCATCAAAAGTAAGATCCGGATTTTCAACTCCAATGTGAAGTCAGTCAGTGCTACTCACTTCGCGGATCAGAGACTTGGCCAGCGCGTCATAAAGAGCACCTCAAACAGACTGCAGACCTTCATTAACAGCTAATTGTCTTCGCTCAATATTTCGCTTAAGATCAGCAGGAACCGATTGTGCAACAAATATATCCAGGAAGAAATGGAGGAGGTGGATTAGCTAGCCATACTCTGAGACAGAAAACAAACCATCAAGTGACATCACTGGACAAGCCATTGCTCGAGTAGAACCCGACCGAATGGGAAGAGGCTAGTTGGTCGTCAGTGGGAGGGTGACTTCGAGGAGCAGGTCCTGTGAAGAGGAGATGATGAAAGCATGTGGGCAGACTTGGAGCCAGGTGAACACTCTAGCAGAGAACCGAACGCAATGGAGACGCACGGCTGAAGTCCTATGTTCCTCTAGGAATTAAAAGAAACAATAATAATAATAATGACGATTTCGATGACATATACATCCCGGTTTACACTCAAGTGTGTTAAATATTTAAATTTACACTTAAACACTATTAGTGTCTAGTGGATTATCTGAAAACACCCACCACTCCATCCATAATCAAGAATAACAACGATAATAATGATGATGATGGAAAATAACATGTGTCAAAACAGAAACAAATACAAAAATATACGAAATCAAATTGCAAAAACTCAAACACAAACTCAAATGTGGTTTGGTCAATAATGACAAAGATTATGCCATTGTTGTTGAAACATGCAAAAAAGAGGGCTGCGGAATCACCATCAAACAAAAACAAAAAATATCAAACACCACACAAATTTTCAAAAAAAAATTCAACAAACGAATAGAAGAAAAGAACACAATAAATGGAGAAATTGACGACACTAACGTTTCATCCTCTATTGACAGAACAAAATGGGTGATCGACCACTTCTCATCAAGGGAACTAAGCTCTAGAGAGAGAGAGATAAAAGTACTTGAGAAAGGACTAAATTCCAATGTAACAGTTAATAAATTAAAACCAGAGGATGTCATTCCTAACATAGAAGTAGCACTAGGTTCAAGAGATAAGACGACAGCAGAAGAGGTTCGAGAACAATGCACATTAACCCTGAAAACCAAAAACAAAGCGAAATCAAACTTAACAACATCGGAAAGACTAGCTCTAATTAGTCTAAAACAGGATAAAAATATCGTCATCACAAAGGATGATGAAGGAAACTCCACAGTAGTTTTGGATAAATTTAACTATATCAAGAAAGTCACTGAACATATTCAAACAGGTCCGTTCATATGAGGAAATTGAGAAGCCTGTAGATACAATAATCAATAAGGTTAAGAAATCTACAGTGGAATTAATATGCAGAATGAAGCCGTCACTGAGTGAGTCAAAATGGTTTAATTTAATGCCTAAAACTAATAATGCTAGTAGAATATAGGGTACTATTAAAATACATAAGCCAGGTTACCCCATACACTCTATAATCAAGATTAGCAACGATAATAATGATGGAAAATAACAGGTGCCGAAACAGAAAAAGCCACCAACAATTATACATCTCATCCAACAGTTAGCTGCACGACAATGCTGCATGCCAAGTAATCCACAACGGGAAACTTACGGAATCCTTCGAAGTGAGGACAGGAGTAAGACAAGGCTGCCTAGTATCGCCAATGATTTTCCTCGTTGCAGTAGATTGGATAATGCAACAAACAGCGGGCAATGAGGAAACAGGCATAAAATGGACTCACACAAAAAGGACTTGGAGGATCTGGACTTCGCCGATGATATATGTCTGATTTCCCACAAACTGGAAGATATGCAAGCGACAAGCAACAAGTTGGCAGAAGAAGCATCCACAGAAGATAGGACTTCAGGCGAACATAGAGAAGACAGAGGTGATGAAGATTCCTGACAACACCACCAACAGCAACAACAACAACAACACATCAATCAGCCACCATAAATGGGAGGACCCTGAAAATAACAACCTCCTTAACCTACCCACCTAACTGGGAAGCATCGTTTCAACTACAGGCCAACGGAACTGAAGACGATATCAAAGCAGTGAGGATCGGGAAAGCAAGACAAGCTTTCATTACTCTCAAGTCTGTGTGGAGGTCAACAGCACTCAGCACCCAGCATGGAAAATAAGATCCGGATTTTTAACTCCAATGTGAAGTCAGTCAGTGCTACCCACTATACGGATCAGAGACTTGGCCAGCGCGTCATAAAGAGCATCTCGAACAAACTACAGACCTTCATTAACAGTTGTCTTCGTTCAATACTCAAGATCAGATGGCTGGCTAGAAACGATCAGCAACAGAGATCTCTAGCGATTGAATCAACACAGCAGTAACCGATTGTGCAACAAATGTATCCAGGAAGAAATGGAGGAGGTGGATTGGATTGTGGCCACACTCTGAGAAAATAAACCATCAAGTGACATCACCGGACAAGCCATTGCTCGAGTGGAACCCGACCGAATGGGAAGCGGCGAGTTGGTCGTCAGTGCGAGGGTGGGGTGACTTGGAGGAGGTCATGTGAAGAGGAGGAGATGGAAGCATGTGGGCAGACTTCCAACCCGGTGAAGACTCTAGCAGAGAACCGAACGCAATGGAGACGTGCGCGGCTAAAGAAGCCCTATGTTCCTCTAGGAATTAAAGGAAACAATTATAATAATAATAATAATGACGATTTCGATGACATATACATCCCGGTTTACACTCAAGTGTGTTAAACATTTAAATTTACACTTAAACACTATTAGTGTCTAGTGGATTATCTGAAAACACCCACCACTCCATCCATAATCAAGAATAACAACGATAATAATGATGATGATGGAAAATAACATGTGTCAAAACAGAAACAAATACAAAAATATACGAAATCAAATTGCAAAAACTCAAACACAAACTCAAATGTGGTTTGGTCAATAATGACAAAGATTATGCCATTGTTGTTGAAACATGCAAAAAAGAGGGCTGCGGAATCACCATCAAACAAAAACAAAAAATATCAAACACCACACAAATTTTCAAAAAAAAATTCAACAAACGAATAGAAGAAAAGAACACAATAAATGGAGAAATTGACGACACTAACGTTTCATCCTCTATTGACAGAACAAAATGGGTGATCAACCACTTCTCATCAAGGGAAATAAGCTCTGGAGAGAGAGAGAGAGAGAGATAAAAGTACTTGAGAAAGGACTAAATTTCAATGAAACAGTTAGTAAATTAAAACCAGAGGATGTCATTCCTGACATAGAAGTAGCACTAAGTTCAATAGATAAGACGACAGCAGAAGAGGTTCGAGTACATTAACCCTGAAAACCAAAAACAAAGCAAAATCAAACTTAACAAAATCGGAAAGAGAAGCTCTAATTAGTCCAAAACAGGATAAAAACATCGTCATTACAAAGGCTGACAAAGGAAACTCGACAGTAGTCTTGGATAAGTCTGACTATATCAAGAAAGTCACTGTACATATTAAGACGGGTCCGTCCATATGAGGAAATTGAGAAGCCTGTAGATACAATAATGAATAAAGTTAAGAAATCTACAGCGGAATTAATACGCAGAATGAAGCCGTCACTGCGTGAGTCAAAATGGTTTAATTTAATGCCTAAAAGTAATAATGCTAGTAGAATATACGGTACTATTAAAATACAGGTTACCCCATACATTCTATAATCAAGATTAGCAACGATAATAATAAGAATGGAAAATAACAGGTGTCAAAACAGAAAAAGCCACCGACAATTATACATCTCATCCAACAGTTAGCTGTACGACAATGCTGCATGCCAAGTAATCCACAACGGGAAACTTACGGAATCCTTCTAAGAAGTGAGGACAGGAGTAAGACAAGGCTGGCTCCCTGCTATCGTCAATGATTTTCCTGATTGCAGTAGACTGGATAATGCGACAAACAGCGGCGGGCAATGAGGAAACAGGCATAAAATGGACTCACACAAAAAGAGACTTGGAGGATCTCGACTTCGTCTATGTGATATATATGTCTGATTTCCCACAAACTGGAAGATATGCAAGTGAAAAGCAACAAGTTGGCAGAAGAAGCATCCACAGAAGATAGGACTTCAGGCGAACATAGAGAAAACAGAGGTGATGAAGATTCCTGGGAAACAACAACAGACAACAATAAGCATAAATGGGAGGAACCTGGGAAGCATCGTTTCAACGTTGACGGGCCTGACGAGGATATCAAAGCATTGAGGATCGGAAAAGCAAGACAAGCTTTCATTACTCTCAAGTCTGTGTGGAGGTTAACAGCACCCAACATCAAAAGTAAGATCCGGATTTTCAACTCCAATGTGAAGTCGGTGCTACTATACGGATCAGAAACTTGCACTGCGCGTCATAAAAGAGCACCACAAACAAACTACAGACCTTCACTAACAGTTGTCTTCGCTCAATACCACTCAAGATCAGATGGCCAGAAAAGATCAGCAACAGGGTGGGATCTCTGAGAGCGAAGCAACCAGGAACCAATTGTGAAACAAATAAGCAGGAAGAAATGGATATGGATTGGCCATACTCTGAGGAAACAATCAAGTAACATCACTAGACAAGCCCTCCAGTGGAACCCGAAAGGGAAGCGGCGAGTTGGTCGTCAGTGTGAGGGTGACTTCGAGGAGGTCATATGAAGAGGAGATGATGAAAGCATGTGCGGAGACTTAGAGCCAGGTGAAAACTTTAGCAGAGAACCAAATGCAATGGAGACGCACGGCTGAAGCCCTATGTTCCTTTAGGAATTAAAGGATCCAATAATAATAATATAATAAAACAGAGAAGAAATAAAACTTAATCAGATCACCTTAAGCATTGGACTCTCGCTTTTAACTAACTTATGAGATGCAGACTCTCTTAAGTTAAAAAACATAAGCATACTTCAGTACGTTTAGAGAGCAATTTACATCACAAGTAGAACTCTATATGCAGGCATCACATAGTCCTCAACCGAGTTGTTGACACAGACAATCGAAAAAGAACGATATGAAGGAGATGAAAACGTTAATGCACAGGAATCATTACAATACTGTAGTCATTCCCGATAAAGACATCAGAAAACAGAATAGATTCATCAAAAAGTCGCAATCGACTCCTCAAAGTACACACACAGACATAAATAGGACCCAATGAATATGACCCAAGGTTTCACGAAGCAGAGTTGACATTGCTGGTCCACTCTCTCAAAAGTCATCTATGTCCTCAACTTACTTTTCAAAGCGATAGACAAGCCAAATATAAGTGGATACCTTCTCAGTCTGAACACTTTCCATCCATATCGATTACATCTAAAAGGCTATCAACGTATTACGTCCACCCGCACATGTACAACACTAAATTCCTTTATGTGGGATTTCCATACACTACATATATACATGATGCTGAATCTCAAAGGTAGTGATTGCTACACGATTATTCCTTCAAGAGAGATATTGTGGCACAGTTATTCCTTCAAACGGTAGTGATTATTCATAGTGAGACCATTAAAATGGTCATCTATAAAAAAAACTACAGCACACTGTCGCGCGGTGGCTGCATGTAGTTTCAGGTCATTATGGGCAATTCGCAGAGCCTTCACTAGAATCACCAGAGATATGTTCACCTCCTTATATACATCTCTGGTGAGGTCAAGACCGGAAAACTGCATCCAGGCCGCCAGCCCTTGTCTAAAAGGGGACTCACACATTCTAGAAAGGGTCCAGAGGAAGACAACACGTATGGTTCTCGGAATGACTAACTTATCATACGAGGAAAGACTAGACAGTTTAAATCTCTTCTCTCTGTCATACCATAGGCAGAGAGGAGATTTAATCACAATGTTTAAAATTTCAAATAATAATGACTACGGACCTGACCTATTCTTTCTTTTTCTTCCCACCAGGTCGGAACACCTTAGAGGACATGGCAGGAGAGTTCAAAAGCCAAGAAGAAATCATATTGCTGTTGAGTACTGGTTCTCACACCGAGTCATTAACTCTTGGAACCGACTCCCAGAAGAAGTGGTGTCTGCAACCTCAACTGATTCGTTCAAGAAGAGTTTGGACAACCACAGAAATTTACTAGAAAAGGATTAACATAGGCTCCAAGCCTTCTATCCTCAGCCAATATATAAATCTGAAGTTCCTGTGGAGATTGTACAGAGGCCAAGTGACCGTGAACAGCCAATCATAGTGATACAAGCGACAGAGGTCAAGAAAGCAAGATTTAATGAATTCATCAAAATTTCGACAAAACCTTTTAGCTGCATACGCTACACATTTAGAGAAATATACATTCCCTTGTTTTAAAATCGTATCAGGAAATTAATGTCCCCAATCATGGTAAAACGGGTATATTTCTAAGTAAAGTTGCTCCCCACACAAGATTCAGAAAATTACAAAGACTCACTGAACAGTTATATCGAAATCCATGTGGATAGTTTCCTGAAGTTGCTGAATTAAATTTTTCAGAAATAGAAAGGATGCAAACCTACACTGGTCTACTTTTAATTTGGATGGGTCTTCATTTTCCTTAAACAAATCCTGAAAATCTACAAAAATAAATAACTGATAGGGAAAATACCATCTGCCTGAGTAAAAGATCCTTGCTTCTTTTCAAAGTCTGAGGCTTCAAAACTAGAATTGACCGACATATCGAGAGCTGATGCACTTTCGGTGTTAACTTCAGACCCATTGATATGTATGTCCCCAGGTTTATATTCAGCAACACGATAAGAAACAGGAGGTGGAGGACCAGAATCAGAAGAAGGTATAAAATTAGAAGAACCCTCGCATTCAGAAAACTGCGATTCTGTCAAATCCATTTCGAATTAGCCGCACTACACAAAATAGTGTTTTACCGACATGAGATTTCCGGCTGGCATAATTCAGCAAGTCGGTCTGTATTTCACTTGGTAAACGTTTTACTTTGAATAATATCTATTAAAACCGTGTCTTATGTAATCTGTATTGATAGAAATTGTGGTGAGCCTAGATTCCATCTTGGCGTAAGCATCATATGGTCTGACTGCGATACGCTCTTAGCATATCAGTTACAAGTGTTTCTGTGTCAGGCGAACTGTCCGAAATATAGCCATAGTGACCAGGATGGAATAACCGAAGGGTGATATAACCTACTCGGATTGTCTACTTAATGTGTGCGTCGGTGGCACAGTGGTTAGGACTCTCGCCGACCATGCACATGGTCCGGGGTTCGAACCCCTGCCGGCGCACACCCGATATCTATGGTATGCCTGAATTTGGGCAACCGATATCCATGCTGAAAGTTCCACACTTGTACTGAAAATACGGTGTGGAAATCAAGCTGTAAATCAAAAAAAAAATGTAAGAGCCTCACTTTTCGGCACGTTCTCATTCTATGAATACTCCTGCATACATCCCAGGATTTCCATATAGTCAATTATCATGCGAAGCAGAACGTTATTTGACACGTGAATTCTGTCAGTACATAGAAATCGCCAACTAATTCTTAAAGAAACTCCGTAAGGACAGAAGTTATGATGTAGATCCACTTTTTCTGTGTGGGTATCGACAGAAATTATCGGAAGTTGGAGGAGATTTGATGTATAACCGCACTGGTCGGAGTGAAGTAATCTGCAAGGCACAGATCCGTTGCCTACACTGCATACTATAGCATATTATGCAATATATATGTGTATATCATATCAACAAAAAAATAAGCAAAGTACTACGAGTACTCTGGTTTGCATGAAAATTTTTCTTTTCAGTAATGGTATTCATGCATTTCCTTCATTATTATTTCAAATTTGCCTTAATATTCCCCACGTATACTTCTTTATTTTAGTTATATAAAGGTTAAAATACGTGGAGTCTGAGAAATTCAGCCAAGTCACTTCAAAAAGGATCCAGATGTATTTTGAGTTAAATGACGCGTAGTGGAAATTGCAGAGAATTCTTCCTTCTCCTCTGAGATATGAGAAGCCACAGCGAGCATTTTTGCACTTGGAATTATCATCTCCTGGCTTTCCACAGTTATTGACTCCATTAGATTTCAATGTATTACTGAATTCTAGATTCTCGACGTGATTTCTTACATCAATTCTCATCATCCCTCGATATTTCGCCATGGCTTGTACAAAGCAGACTGCTCGCAAATCTACTGGTGGAAAGGCCACAAGAAGTTAGCCGGCCACCAAGTGTGTCTGTAAATGCACATCAGCTACTGGTGGAGTTAAGAAGTTACACAGATACAGGTCAGGGTCTGTTGTTCTACGTGAGGTCTGTCTTTACCAGAAAAGCACTGAACTGTTGATCCGCAAATCGCCTTTTCAAAATCTCGTCCATGCTATCACCCAGGAATTGAAGACTGACTTGCAATTACATAGCCCAACAGTCTCTGCTTGGCGAGTAGTCAGTGAAGCTCAGTGGGTCGCTCGCTTCGAAAGTATCGACTTGTGCACCATCCCTGATAAACGTGTTATCATCAACCCCAAGGCTCGGATTCCTTGTGAATCTGTTTGCTTTCATTCACATTTTGGCTTCCATCCCGTTATAGTTGACAATTGACTGCAAATCCATCTCGGTTTTGGTTGTTTTCTGGACTTGTTTATTTGCTTTCCGTAGTAAGTATTGATTAGTTCACTGTTTTTTATTCATCAAAGTCTATTTGCGAAATATAGATACTGGCTTTAAACCCCTAATTTGCGGACATGGATTCTTTAATAAATATCTAAGTAAGGTTGCAGTTACCGAATTTATTATTCATCATAGTAGTAAGTGGAATTTGACTTGTTTATCATTCTAAAGATTGCGTGTTAACAATTGATACACCGCACTGGCTCTGCTTTTGAGTTTTGACTACTGCGATAACGCACGTTTGCACTCCTCAAGTGCCTTTTGATTGACGTTGTGGATGTCGAGTAATCACAACGTTAAGACACAAAAATAAACGTGAAGAAGTACTAGGATATACATGTATGCTAGTTTGGTCAAATAGAGCAACACGAAATGGTCACCTAAATTTGATCGATATGACCGGGAACTGCGGTTTGCTTGACCATAACACTACTTTGACCGGTATAGCATTATTTCCGACACTACCAGTTGCATGAACGTTTGTCCTATGTTACCCTATGGGTATGGCAAGTTGGTGCAAGACCTTATACTTCACAGTCCAACGAGCATCCATGCCTAGTGCTGATTTCTCCGTGCTCCTAAGGACGATTGGATAGTAGAATCAATAATGTCACTATCGGGATGACTAGGTGACTGCTAAGATAACTCGTCGCTAAGCACTACTATCAGTTTAAGATGGAAGCCTTCATGCTACTTCTGTTGTTCATGTGACAGTGACTGGACTTCCTCATCACTAAAGGATATGAATGAAAGACATAATCGAAAACTGTACTAAATTTGAGTTTGTTCATCACCAAAATTTTCGGCTTGCCCCGTCAAAATAGGTAACGACGCCGTCTCCAAATACGTTATGACGGAGTGTCACGAAAATGTTGGTTTTCATATAACTTAGCTGGAAAAAGCCTCGAGACACAACACTACAACAGCTTGAAAATATACTCACCACTCAGAGGTAGATAAAAAATTCGGATTTAATCGCAACAACCGCGGAAAACCACCACCTTTGCCATTCACAATACATATATATGTATACATATGTCATTTGCACTTCCTTGGAGATTCAAAACAGGCAGGAATCAAAAGCCCGATTGACTGCATGACCTTGAAGATCCTCCTAAATCGAACCGGTCCAAAACAGAGCACACCTGATCTCTTCGTGTATAGCGAACCAGCTGTTTGATAAGGTGTGGTGAGTTACTTTACCTGCATCCTGCTTTGCTTGAGTTGCCAGTGTGTCATGAAACCACTTTGTCTTTCTCTCCCCTATTGTTTAGCTTGTTGCTGACTGAATTCGGCTCCTAATTTCATCACTGGTCATTTGCTTCAACAACCTCCTCTCCTACTTGAATTGACACATGCTGATAGTCAGACGTAACCCTTACTGGCTAAGATATCGGGAAGAGTTACTTCCATGTCGCTCTTTAAGGTAATTTTCTCTGGTTTTAGTAACCGGTGATTTTGATATCTTCCCGATAACCGCAGTGTAATTCATCGCCTTGTCCATCAATTCCTGAGTGCTACACTTGAACTGTGGTCCGTTTCCGGATGTTTTGAAGGCTTTCAACCTGGTTTTGAAGGTCCCTTAGACCTGGGACTGGATCTGCTATTCTTCCCCATCTGGCGATTGGAAAACTATATCTTTACACTCCTCAGACCGACACCGAACTCTGTTAGACTTTCGGTGTGTCTACGTATTGAAACTCTGATAGTGTTTCGGATATCCTCGAGCTTGCACATGCTATCTTCCATTCGTTAAATCACTGGAGGAGCGGGAGTTCGGACAGACTTGTGCATTTCCGCTAATTTGACAGAGCGTGCTTGATCCCAAGGCCTATTTCCTTCTTCCCTTCCATGCTCTTAGTCTTGAATTTATGTCACGCGAAAGTTTTATGGTGTTACATTACCCCATTCTGTTGCCCCCTGATTGCACCGTTTTCAGATAACATACTCATTGATGAAAACCCGCGACAATTTGTGGTTAAACTAACTGTCATAATCAACGAGTTCCTAGGAAATACTGAACGATAGTGTAACAAACTAGTAAGTTAAACTGCTTCAACGACTTGGAACTCGTTCTCTGTCAGCTTCAACGAGAATTAGCATTGATGATTTTTATTTGGTCATCTATAGTGCTATACCAAAGGTTTAACGGTATTACTTATTGACTCCTCCTGGCCCACCTAAACAGTTGACCAGACTGCTGTTAACACCACCTTACAAGACAATGGAGAATAAACCACTACGTCTATTGCAGGATACAATTATTAACGCTTATCGGAAGAGAAAGCAGAGAATTATTCATTTTACAAACCAACAACTTGAAATATCGTCGAAGATGAATGGTAATAATGAATTTATATCTTGGAAAGCACATCATAGGGTGAGTGAGGAGTGAAATATCAAGTCGAACAAGAGGAAGAGCATTCGATAGATAAATAAAGACTTGAAATCTCTCCCAATCTCATCATGAAGTTTACAACTCCTTTTTAAATTCCGACAGTCATAGAATGCCACTAGGTATAGGACTCCTATATCATCATATACCAATTATTAGACTTCCAAATATTCTCACTTGCATTCTTGTAGTGTAATCACCGAATTCCAAAGCTAATCACTCAGTGACCTAGGCAGGAAAATGTGTCAGAAACATAATGTTAATCACTTAGCAAGTCTTCAACATGAACCGGTTATCTTTATTATTATTAATTAAGACTACATGTTACCTAGAATCTCAGATAAGACGCTAACGGCCGATAATGACAGGCAATCTTGATATCTCATGGAAACGCCAAATAGCACAGTGTTATTCCCACAAAAATCGTCTGCAACACGCACCAATAAATAAATAACCAATTGTTTCCACATTGTATCTATTTGACAAATCGACAAATCAAATGTCCATGTACATCATTATCCACAACAAAATAACCCTTCGAAAAGCAAAATAAGCTGGGACTAGTACGAGGTTGAGAAATTTTTCCGAATAGCAGAATGATTTTTGTGTAAATTGTCTTTATACATTTATTTTCACACAATTGGATCAAAAATCTGCAAAAATTAGCCTTTCATCCTGCTGTGTAAAACGCACACAACCCTCAGGTGTTTTTCAAACACTAAGGGAAATATAACTTGTATTTAGCTATATTTCGTTTCAGGATATCTGAACACGGGCCCATGACACGTTCAAATCGTTTACGATCAGGTTTTACACAACGCAGCGGACCTTGGATTAGTTGCCATTCCCTGTGAATGACTAACAGTAAATTGTATGGACAAATTATGAACTGAATAACTGGGTGTATCTTCATCTGGACCTGTGTGCCAGTCCAGTGTTCAGCGTTGTCAATTACATCTAACTGAACTGTAGTGGTCACAAAAGTCAGTCGCTCCTATCTGTCGGACAGCGACATGCATTTCTGACAGCTCGACAATTAAACATTAAAAAGATGCACACATAGAGAATCGAAACCATACTGATTATATAGATCAATTTTTTGAAAATTGCCTGTGCTCCTATAATCTGCAAATCTGTTCGGCTCCTCGTCAAGATGCTACCCGACTGGAAATGCAGAATATCGTGAGACATCTTACAGGTCAGCACATCCCATGGGTACTAGTTTTTCATATCTTTGGACGTACTTCCCAGTGGAATGTCACATATATTCCACGATAATTTTTTATATAAGTACTATTGTACTCTACCTTATCTTAACTGCTGTGGTCTTTAATAAGGCTAAAGTCTACTCCTTTAATTGTACTCTTTGCTCTCTTGAAGTCTGGTAGCTCTGGTGAAAAAACAGAATAGCTCTTATGTTCGAGCAAACCTTTCGCAGTTTTCCAGGATGTTCTCCTCTTCCCGAAGTAGCGTTAAATCACGCGGTGGCATAGCACTTACCCAAATATATGTGGTTCGTTGGTTGATCACAACTGTCAGCAAGAAACTAAACGAAGTTTGCGTTGACGCTCAACCCTGATGGTGGCTTTATTGAATGATTTACAACAGCTAGAATGGTTCCACAACGCTGCGCATGTAAGGCCTGTCCAAAGTACACAAACAAAGCCGTTTCACTCAGCTCAATACCAGGTGCGATATATTCTCCGCACCACCAATCGCGAAACGGCTGTTGGAGGTTTTCGTGCCAGTAAAAGAAAAGCTGCCAAGACACAGCATCCGTGTCACATTCTACTTTGTTGATTCAAATTAGGAATGTCAACGCGGCAGACAATAGATTAGTTTCTTTGGATATCATCTTTCTCTTCACCAACGTCCCACTGACAGAAGCCGTTTATTTCCCTTTTGACTACATTCAATCCATTAGCATAGGTGTCGGTATACTGACAAACTACCTGAAAGAACTATTACTACGATGCACCGTCAACGTATACTTTAGTTTGAACAGCTGAATATACGGGTAAGTGGATGGAGTAGCAATGGGTTCTCTCCAAAACCCCTCGTGGCTGATTGCTTTATTGCTAGCCTAGAAAACAACTACTTGTCATCAACTGTTGACAACCTCCATCTCTACAAGAGATACATCGATGATACCTTCATTATTTGTGACGAGAAGCGTGATCTCGAAACCTACATCAAATCTTTAATAACACCCACTCGAATGCCAACTTCAGCCAGGAAGTAAAGTCTAACTCAACGCTTCATTTCCGAGACGTTCAACTGCGGAGGAATGCAGAAAACTCGCCAAGAAGATCCATCTACGAAAAAGCTGCATGGAACGGACATTTACTTTCAAAGTTGTGTGCCTCAAAGCAAAAAGGGAAACCTAACATATTGTCTTTCCCCAAGGATTCAGAGGATTTGCACTGAAGAGTCAATCGAGGAAGAATTATGAAACCACCGAGGGATCTTGATAGAAAATAGATTACCACTCAGATACATGAACAAGAATCTAATACCAGGGAAAGCACGGGCAAAGTTGCAAGGCGCCCCAAAAAGATGCTGATAATGAACCCCGAATTTAAAAGTGATGTCAAAGCAGAAATTCTCCATAGACGGCTTTCGGACTCTCTCAGTAAAACATACTTCGCTGCCTACGAATATCATTTCCCTGCAAAAAACTACTCACCCAACCCATGAAAGACATGCTGTAGCATTGGGCCCCCTCAACATGCATATACAAGTTCACTCACTGGTGTGCAGCCGAGTACATTGGTTGTACCACGCGTCCGCTATTAAAACGAGCGCGGGAACACTATCCAGGATGGTTAGCTAAGGGGTTTGCAGTTCTATAACAGAACATCTGGTGAATTCTAGACGTTCAGTCCTATGTGAAAAGCCACATGGAAGATCCAGTCCAACCTACCAAATTGAGTGAAATCGAGAAATCTGGGAATAGCTGAAGCACTGGCGATTCAAAAACTCAAGCCTTCTCTACATGTTCAAGGATTGGTTTGTAGGATTTGATTGACTGGTTACAGGATTTCATCATGAGCTGACATTGGTTAGAGAATCATTGGAAAACCTGGGAGCACTGGACATCCGTTTCATCCTAGTTTGGGACTCTTCATCAGTACGCACCCACCCAAAAGAAATGCGTTAAACCGTTATCCCTACCGTGTCAATCAGGAGAAGCTTGTCTCACCAGTAATCATTATCCTAATGCTTTTCTTGTCCAATCTTCCAGTTTAAATGTTATATTTACCTTTTCAAATCCTAATTTGCATTGTTAGATTTGGTTACTGTTCTTCTTTTAATCTGTTTGAACCCTTTACCGATTTCGTCAATACCAACTCCTCAGCCCGTAATTACAAACTGACGAGTTGTTCAGTAATTATAATCACATTACGTCTTTCCCATTCGATCATCTTGATTATTACACATTGTACATTTTAATTTGACCTTTGATCTGAAATACTTCTGGAACTTTCCTACACAAGTAATCTAAATACAAGAATGTACAGTCGAGTTCATGACTTTGTCGAAAAGAAAATTTTCTCCGCTGCAATTGTGTTCTTAATAATTTCTGTGATCCAATGTGTATACTCCGTAATTTAACATTTGTAGGAACCTGTTCTGACGCTTGTACAACAATCCGACGATTAAACATTTCGAAAAGTGCTAATTTCCAATGTTTCTTGATTGCAATTTCCAGCATATCTGATCGTGCCTGTAAAATTGGTATGTATTTCTTGTAAACTCACTTGGTTATACGAAATATAGATCAGTATATATGTCAAAACTTCAAAATATGAATATGTAGGCAGCTGACTTTGTGTAGTTATGTCCTACAGGTGAATGAGCTTCTGGTGATAATTCAGCAATCTGAATATGATCTTGAACCCGATATGGCTTCACTTTATGCTAAAAGTACTCTCGGTATATGAAAATATTTGTGTATTATGGCTAAGTGAATTTAGGGGTAATCATACGGTAACATACTGGATGTCACTACTTTCACCTGTAGACTAGTAAGTAACTCGAGGTACTAACGCCATACTCGAGTTCAAAACGTCCCGTAGTTGCTTCCTGCTGTGAAATCTTACACTTCATGAATTACCGAGGTGAGTTGGCTTTGCATTAACAAAATTCGCTGCTAGGACACGTATTTCCAAAAAATTCTATTCATCAGTTCAGGGATACATATATTTTAACAAGTAGAAGTGACTAAAATAATCGTAATGTGCTGGCTGGACTCAGATGTCACGTTGGGTTGAAATTTTGCTTGGAAATTTTTTTGTCAATAAGTCTTAATAAAATTGTGTTGCATATTATCTGTAATGATGGGAATTCTCATTTCCTGGCTAGTTATGTTCTGAAAATGAATTTTGATGGTGAACTGTTGGACATTCGACCTTTTCAAGGTTATATCTACGACTCTGATTTGGTTTGCCACATGGGTACGTTAATTATATCTTGCGGGACGTACGACGGTAGTGTATTTGCACTCCAGTATGACTGCCAAACACTGGATATAGCTGGACCAAAACAGTTGAAGCCTGTTTTTGTGGATCCAGCAGCCCATAATTCTGCAGTTACTAGTGTCGCCACTAAGGACGATTTGGTTCTCTCTGGTAGTAGTGATGAAATCATTCAGGTGAGTATATTTTTTTTATAATCTAAGTGTTAAATTTCATGTTCTTCAATATATAAGTACATTCCAGCGAAGTTGCTCTCATAGATTGACTCGCGTAACTTAACGAGACTCATATGAGTCTCCAGCCAATTAGCTTCAGTTACGACTTAATTTTTCAGGTTAAATGTATTGTTAAATGCAGGTAGCAATTTGAATATGGTAGAATATAGCACCCAGAATGTTTTCTTGAACTTATGTGGTGCTATTTTGCAATGGGCTTTTCCCATTAGGCTGTTGAAATGTCATCATCACAGATGTTTACCCTTAACAAGTATGTAATTTCAGCAGTAAAGTGTCCTATCAACTGCTGGTCTGTCACTACCCATTAAGTTCGAAATACAAGAAACTCACTCATGGTTCACCATGGCGCAATCCACTCCCAAGCTTTCTATAATTCTGAAATAATTCTAACATTCTATAGTGAGTAAATTCTAAACCTCTTTTGAAATGGATTCTTTAATGGGACAGACTAGAACTCAGTGCAGGTTTTCGGCATGACTGGCCTGGCACTAATTCAGCACCGTGTTCTCTTTCTAGGCATTTTCAGGAATAGATCAAAACCTACTGGGTTTGCTTATCAGCGTTGTCCCAGCCCTCACAGGACATATTAAGCACGCACTAGCGTTGCTTCAGAACGAAGAGATTTAATTCAGCACCAAGCTCTCTTTTTAAGCACGACCAGTGTTATTTCAGAACATAGTGGGTAGATAAAATCCTTATTTACCATAAAAAGGGATAATCGAAGAATAGGTTGGAATAAATTCAGAATTATTGTAAACTTGGGCTGAAATAGGCATGAAAAATGTATGCTAAATAACCCGTTTGTTGAGGTGTAGATTCCGATTTTCAGATTTATTGATTGAGAACAGAAGGATTGCAGCCTATGTTGATCCGCTTCTTGTGCGCACCGTCCATGAATGAGTCAATTTATGACGCTGGCACCACTACTCCTAGGAGGAGTCGGTTCCAGGAGTTGAAAACTGTGAGAACCAGTACTTAACAGCAATATAGTTTTTCCTTGGTTTTTGAACTCTCCCCTTTTATGTCTTCTAAGGTGGTGGGAAAGAGAGAATAGATTAGGTCCATAGTCGTTATATAAAAAACTTAGAGATTGTAATCAGATCTCTGCCTACTGTGTGACAGCGAGTAGTAGAAATAAAGTAACTACCATACGAGTCAGGTAGGGAGATGCAGACTTCCGGGTTGAGGCCCGCCCTTGGGACTCTAAGAATCAATGGCTGGAGACAATAGGTGTGACATGGCTCAAAATCGTTGTCAATGGCTTACGCAGATGTATTCAGTCTCTTGTGTAATCTTTCGTATTCTTTTCTACCATTACTCATTGTGTTTCACTCTTATACTTGTCAAAACTCTATTGATTCTCTTTACTCATTTTCTTGTCAACCTTTTTGTGCTATTTGGAAGGTGGCAACTCGAAGTGCTGCACTTCGGTGCCAAGTTCTATGTTGAATCCAGACAGATAGATTAGATAGACAAAATTGTTTTGTTTTAAAGGCTCCACAGGATTGATCGTTTAACGGACAAAGCTTGTTTCTAATTGAGTTTGTAGTTGGTTTGAATTACAGCCACTTTTATTCCTACCTGCCTTGTTAAGAATTCTGCGTAAGGTGGTTTCCGAGGTTCCTTCCTTGTATGGAATTACTACTGATGATTTAGATTCCTTATTGTTGGTGTCGTCATTAATATTATTATCACTATCGCTACTATCATTATTTATTTTATTTTTACATTTCCCTCAATATTTCTTGACTAATTTATCAGAGTAATTATTAAGTTTCAAGGCTTCTTATATGTATCACTTCCTGTCTTAGATTTTCCTTGGTACTGCTTAGTTTTTGTGCTCTGTTGTCACTTAAACACTTCACCAATGTTATTTTTACTGACATAGATTGGGTGGCATGATCGGAAGTCCAAATGTCTGTTTGAATGTGTGGGTTTCCTGTAAACACACACACTAGTGTATCTAACTTCCCATCTTCTTTTCTTTTTACGCTACAATCTAAGATTGGAAGTTCCCTGAGTTACTGAATTTCCAATTCATCATAAGTAAATTGAATTGCCTCCACCTTTGAGTTTATGTGTTGGAAAAATCTATCTATATCCTGTGTTCTAAGTACAATGAATGATGACTGTGTCATCTACATACACCTCCACCATACTTCCACTTTTGGGGTGGATGGGGGTGAACGTTTCAATTGCTATGTTTTCCCACCTATCCATGTATATATATCTACTACAACCGGGGTGTTTGTCAAATAATCTACAGAGTGAAATATATATGTCTGGAGAACGTTTCCCCGTAAAAGCATTGTCTTCCCAGTATTGCTTAAAAGTTATCGCTGATTCTATTATTATTATTGTTGTATTCTTTAATTCCTAGAGGAACATAGGGCTTCAGCCGTGCGTCTCCATTGCGTTCGGTTCTCTGCTAGAGTCTTCACCTGGCTCCAAGTCTGCCTACACGTTTTCATCTCCTCTTCACATGACCTCCTCCTCGAAGTCATCCTTGCACTGACGACCAACTCGCCGCTTCCCATTCGGTCGGGTTCCACTTGAGCAATGGCTTGTCTAGTGATGCCACTTGATGGTTTGTTTCCTCAGAGTATGGCCACAATCCAATCCACCTCCTCCATTCCTTCCTGCTTATTTGTTGCACAATCGGTTGCTGGCTGGGTTGGTTCGCTCACTGCCAGAGATCCCTGTTGCTGATCTTTTCTGGCTGGCCATCTGATCTTGAGTGGTATTGAGCGAAGACAACTGTTAATGAAGGTCTGTGGTTTGTTTGGAGTGCTCTTCATGACGCGCAGTGCAAGTCTCTGATCCGTATAGTAGCACTGACTGACTTCACATTGGAGTTGAAAATCCGGATCTTATTTTTCATACTGATTGCTGAGTACCGATAGCTGCTACCTTGACGTGGTGGCCGGGCTTGCATATCGCAGTGACCCAACGAGCTACACTGGCTGGAACTTATGTTCCTGCACGTTGTACCATGCCAGAAAGGTTGTTTGGATAGCGATTAGACAAAAAGCAGCTACTCAATCCAATACTATGACTTCAAACAAATCACAAAATATCATTCCGGATCGGTCGGGGCCCGGATTAACAACGACCGCGCTTCCTGCTGCTGTGTCACAGGGCACACCAAACAAGAAAGAACAAACAAAAACAGGCCGTGTGTGACCGGCCTCAAGCAGTTTTCCCCTGGGCTCTGCGGTCACGCAACACCAACCTTTTATCTCTCCCCTTCTCAAGCGTGAGGCTAGCAACCCCACCCTGTAAACGAAGCTGCTACAGAAACTTCAGCACGACGAATCTCAGTTTGCATTTAGCAGAAAAATAAATTTCTGAGTTAGACTTCATCGAAAACTTTTTTCCCCACTGAATGATAATGATGAGTGTGTAAAACTTGGTGAGAAATTCTCAGTACTCGCACGTGTTAAAGTTATCGAAGCTCCTGTATATATATATATATATATATATATATATATATATAGTACATAGCGCTATTGTGCATGTGAGTTGTTAGTTGAATTTAAAGTTCATAAGTAGTAGTGGCTTGATGATTAATTGTGGTCTGATTTTTACATTTTTGTTTTTTTGAGTGACATTCCTACAACTTGAGCAGTATTTCCAAATGTATATGAAAAACAAAAAAAAACAAACAAAATACATAACCTCGATTAAACTAACTTATAGCTTATAACTTATCAAGTATGAAAACTGTACGACTTTATATAAAGAGGTTTTCAATGCTAGATAGCTGATTCACTAGGCGTTTTTTTATCAAGACGGTAGGATGTGTTGTAGACATCGAGTTGTTCAGTTATATTAATCATTTACGCGTGAATGTCTCTGTTGATTAGTTCAAATTGATCGCAATCATCTTATTGGGGTAGTCAGGATGACAATGAAAAAGGCAGATGGTATTTTCAAGAATCTCTTCAGGTTTGTGCATTCTTGTTGAGTACAGTAATCATTGTCTACAATGTTACTTCCAGTCTGAAATCGGATGCAGAATAGCACACTGTTTGCCTGATCCCTGTAGCCTCACAACTCTCTCTCTCTCTTTGGTAGATGGGAATTCATAAGCACGAAGATCTATCCAAATCCAACTGTCTCGCATCTCGTAATCAGTATGCGTGTGTGTACAGCGTGGACATTTAAAGTAGTAGATTATTGCTAAACTGAGCAACACTGTGAAACTGTTTTTTTGCATCTGTGATGTCAAACAGAAGTTAAGAATGTCGTGCGCTCCTTGATAAGAGACAGTGTTACAGATTTTCAAAAGAATGGATACTGAACTCCTTACAAGAAAACCAGATAGTGGTAGCATAAAAAGAAATTTGCATAGAAAAAGTACTTGGACAGGACAATCAATATACACACATTTTCACAGCTTCGTTCCTCTCTCAAGTACAAAAGAAATTTAGGGAAGAGCCTCACTCGGTCACAGAGTTAGTTAGAGCAATATGCTCAGAAGTAGTAAGTGAAGATGAATTCAGCATTCTATATGATACTTTGATTGATCGAAAATAGCTATGCTGACAAATCGCTATCAAGAAACATATGACAAAGAAAGCCGAAAAGGACTACTCACTATCTGTAAACAAGAAGCCATTCCATATACGACTGCAATTCATGGGCGATTGATATACCAAGTGAGATAATTACGAAGAAATTAAGAAAATCAGTTCAAAGAACTCTTAATGCTGCCGGCGAACTACACGTCTTATTCTCTACACGACCCATGGTGATTCCTCGACTGAAAGATGAAGTACCTAGACTAGCTAGCCACTTCAAATTGTATTTATCAATTCAACTACGTTTGTGGAGCGAGTTATGTTGGCCGTTGCTCTAGGAACTTGATTTTTCGTGCTCACTCGAGAACATATCCCACTATGGCTAAGTAAAGGTGTAGTTTGAACTATTAACAGCTCGATATTAGACCATCTGGTGCAAACCGGCTGGTCACAAAGCCAGCCAGCGTGGAAGAATCCTTCTCTCTAATATACCGGGTGCCTAACAAGCTACCAAAATCGTCGCAGCACCGCATGCTCCAAACACCAGAGGCTATTGCAATTCACCTTAAACAACTAGTGAGTGCTCTGTATTCAAAAGAACAAGTCCAGCTAGCCCCTACTACTGCCCAGGCTGTCCCTTAGTAGAAACCATAAACTCATGAATTTGTACTATTATCTTTCATAATTCTTCTGACATTCAGTTTATTTTATGTTGATGCTGTTCAGCTGTAATCTATCAATATTATTGATTTGATGTTATTTAAACAACATTAATGTCGTTCATAAGACTAATTCATCCATTCATTCATTATAGTGTATATATAATTGTAGAACCCGATGATGAATTTATCGAAAAGAGTACTCTTTGTTCCGTGTTTATTCTTTTGAAAATTTTAATGGGCATTTTTAATCAGTTTGAATGAACTGAATTAGAATTTCTCAATAACTGATTAAAAATGCCCATTAAAATTTTCAAAAGAATAGACACGGAACAAATTATATATACATTATAATGAATTAATGAATGAATGAATTAGTCTTATGAACGACATCAATGTTGCTGTTCAAATAACATCAAATCAATAATATTGATAAATTACACCTGAACAGCATCAACATATAATAAACTGAATGTCAGAAGAATTAGGAAAGGTAATAGTACAAATTCATACATGAGTTTATAGTCTCTACTGAGGGCCAGGGCAGTAGTAGGGGCTGGACTTGCTTCTTCTCCACACAGAGTACTCACTGGTTGTTTGAGGCGAATTGCAATAGCCTCTGCAGTTTGGAGCAAGCGGTGCTTCGACGTTTTTGGTAGTTTGTTAGGCACCCGGTATATTATGGAGAAGGATTCGTCTACGCTGGCTTTGTGAGCGGTTTGCACCAGATGGTCCAATATCGAGCTGTTAACAGTTTTACCTACACCTTTACTTAGCCATAGTGGGATATGTTCTCGAGCACGAAAAATCAAGTTCCTAGAGCAATGGCCAACATAACTCGCTCCAAAAGCGCAGTTGAACTGATAAATACATTTTGAAGTGGCTAGTCCAGGTACTTCATCTTTCAGTCGAGATAGCACCATCGGTCGTGTAGAGAATAAGTAAGACGTGTAGTTCGCTGCCAGCATTAAAAGTTCTTTTTTGGGCTGATTTTCTTAATTTCTTCGTAATTATCTCACTTGGTATATCAATCGCCCATGAATTGCAGTCGTATATGGAATGGCTTCTTGTTTACAGATAGTGGGTAGTCCTTTTCGGCTTTCTTTGTCATATGTTTCTTGATAGCGATTTGTCAGGATAACCATTTTCGATTAAAGTATCATATACCATGCATAATTCATCTTTAATTACTTCTTCAGAGCATATAGCTCTAACTCTGTGGCTAAGTGTCTTCACTAAATTCCTTTTGTATTTAATGGGAACGAAGTTATGAAAGTATGTATATTGTCCCGTCCAAGTACTTTTTCTATGTAAATTTCTTTTTATGCTACCGTCTGGTTTTCTTGTAAGTAGGACATCCAGGAAGGCAATTCATTCTGTCTTGGGATTCCTCTTCGCATGTGAATTTCATAGCCGAATGTACTTCATTGAATTAAGTAATTATTGTACTCTTATCGGAACCATTATTACAAAGAATAAAGGTATCATCCATATATCGGCAATAAAATGAGAGCTTACTAATAAGGTTGTTCAGAGGTCCATTTTCTAGCTTACTTAGAAAGAAATCAGCCAGAACTGGACCCAATAGGGAGCCCATTGCCACTCCGTCCACTTGCCTGTAAAGCGTGCCGTCAAATTTGAAGTTTACATTCATGGTACATCTTAATATCAATTCTTTTAGGATTTCAATATGGATTCCAATGTTTATCGACTGCTTGTCTACTTGTTCACATATATAATTAACTGTTTCTATTAGAGGTACATTTGTAAATAACGATGTTATGTCCAGAGATATCATGGTTTTGTCCTTGATTTTGTCTACGAATTCAAATACATCTTTGACGCTATATTTCACTATCTTCTCATGCAATGGTTTGAGAATATTTACTAAACATCTAGCTAGAGCATAGTAGGGCAAATTTTGCATATCAAGTATTGGTCTTAACGGTACCCCTGGTTTATGTTTATGGTTCATTCCCAATAAACAGGAATGACGCAGTAGTATTATTTGCAATAATTCAATCTCCTGGATATATTGCAATTTCCTGTTTTCGCATACCTACCCATTCCGGATGAATGACATTCATGATCATATCAGTCACTCTTTCTCTTTTCTTAGAACTAATAGACAATTAATTATCTTTTTTCTTTTAATCAGATATTTTCGTTACAATCCAAATCTCGTCTCGGTGCTCTGGAAATGCATGTTGGCACAATAAGACAGTTGAAATTCATCACGGAGCCACCAAATTCCCCCTATTGCCATATGTTCAGTGCTAGTGACGACGGTTGCATTGCTATTTGGCGCTGTGAAAATGCAGCTGACGGCGGGAAGCTCACCAAAGGCAAAACGCCCTCATCATGGGAGTGTATTCGTCAAATTCGACGGCATAAAGGACCAGTTCAAAGCATAGCAGTTCATCCTTCTAACCGGTGTCTTTTCTCTATCAGTGAAGATAAAACCTTTCGAGTGTGGAATCTTCTTCGTGGCCGGCAAGCTTACGCCATTAGGCTGAAGAATTTAGCAGATGGAGCACGTGGTGTGTCAGTATCACCTACGGGGAGTCGCCTCCTTTTAGTTTGGCCGGATAAATTTGATATGATTAACCTTATTGGTGGTGAAATTCCTACCGAGGCTAATCGTAGTGGTGGTGGTGGTAAAACTGAGGCATTTAGTTATGGCAGTGTCCAGTTCCCGAATCCAACTACTTCAGAGCCTGTATTCTTTAGCGAAGATGATGATGGTGATGATGAGACGACAGAGAACCAAGCATTGTCAGATCCACTGTCTGCTTATGTTTTAGTTGGCGTTGATTCATCCCTTACTCTCTTTAAGTTCAGCATTGGCGGCAAAAACTCGTCTGACTTAGGCAAACCCTGCATGACAAGTAAAGTAGTTTTACCAGGTAAACGTATCAAGTTCCTTCAAGTGCTGAATTGGCCATCCCATTTAGTAGCAAGCGAAACACTATGTCAAGGACCACGTAGTCGTTTGCTGGTAGCAGTTACAACTGAAGCAGATTGTAGCCATATCCGAGGTTATCTTGTCAATCTGAATGTGACAGATGTTCTTGAACCAGGGAAGTCATTTATCCCAGTGTTCACCTATGACGTATGGAATGCTCGAATCACTGCTTTATCCGCTGCATGGAGTCCTCCTCCTCCTCAAATGGCTACACAGAAACACTCATCTGATTGATGAAGATTCCGCCGCGGTTGCAAATCTCACTATGTAATAATTGAATTTGTACAGCTCTCATCTGTAAAATTGATTATATGTAAATATAGCTCTCTCTCTCTCTCTTGCAATTAAAATAGTGTTCTCTGAGGAGCTGGTTGGTTCAGTTGCGGAGCTTTCGTCGTCCCCCTCCCCCGGGGCTGGACAACATTCCCCGTCAGCACAATTTTAGCATAAAGTGAAGTGATTTTTTTTTTTGAATTTTAAACTTTCTCGTCACATGATCTACTTTTTATTAGTTGGTATATTTCGTCTATGTATTAACGTGTTTGTTAATTGCATTTTCGCTTGAGTACCGACCAGGCTTTCAAGGAATTCCCTGACTACACTTTTGGTGGCGTTTCCTCTGTCTAAGATTTCGACATTATCCCAGTTATCAAACTGATGTCCATAATTATCTACATGCATTGATATGAAACGGGAATTTTATGTCATGTCTTTTCACAGCTGGTTTGTGATCCTGGTTTCTTATTCGAAGGGGACGCCCACTTCGACCACCGATGTAATGTCTGTTTCAGTTCATACATGCAATTTATTTTGTAAATTGTATTAATTTTATCTCCTTTTTGTGTTGGATGTGTCTTTCGGTTTGCATAATATCGAATGAAGTGATTGGACTGGTTGACTGGCTTGTGTGCTATATCTATCTATTTCAAACGGTTTCACCATTCTAGCTGTTATTTCAGAGATATTTTCTTGTGTTCTTTGATGATGATGGTTCCTTGTTGGTGTTGTGATTGGATTTTAAACACTTTTTGATGAAATTTTGTGAGGATATCCATTCTTTTTGAAGACCGTTTGTAGGTATTTTTCTTCCATTCTTTTCAACGCTGGAGTGCTACAGTCTGTGTTGAACTGTCTTGTGAACAATGTCTGCACACAGTTTCTTTTGTGAGTGAGTAATTGGATTATTGCTGGTATAGTTGATTTTCTATATACTTGTGTTTGTAAATTTCCTGTGTTGGTTCTCTTGATTAAGACATCTAAGAATGGGATTTTGTTGTGGTCTAATTCTTCTCCTCTCGTGGTGAATTTGATGTCTTCAAATATTAAGAACATAATATTCAGCGAAGAGACTCTTTTCAACAACGAATTTATTATCAAGCTGTACAATCGTACATATATGGTTTTTTTTGGTAAAAATTATATCCGGTGAGGGAATTAGGTCAAAGGTGTGAATACATGAAATAATAATAATAATAATAGCAGTAGTGGTATGAAATCCAATTAAAATATTTGTGATTATAATCATAGTTTAATGTCAAGTGGCAAAGTAATTAATGTCATATATAGAATAATACATAAGGTGTATAGATATTGTTGGAAAAGGGGTGCATAATTATAGAATTAGTAGACGAATATAAAATGTTACATAACATGGTGTGAAATTTGATAAGATTGAATTCAATATTGTAAAAATAAAAAATTTAAAAATTAATAATTTTGGGTTTAAAATGTCAAGTGGGTCAAGTGGAAAAGATTCAGAGTGAGAATAGTAATAATAATAATAATGATAACAATAGTAATAATCGTAGTAATAAGGGAAAAGTACATAGAATAACTAAATAAACAAAATAAATAAATGTCTATCCCTCTACGGCCAAGGCAGAAGTAGGGATTGTACATACTTCTTTTGTACACAAAGTTCTGGCTGGCCTAAAGTCATGAATTGCCAAGGTCTCAGCTGTCTTTAGAAGTCTGTAACGAAGAAAACGTGAACGGCAAGTTAGCATCTATTCTATATATGATCTTAAAATCATGGTCAGGGTTGGTGTGGAGTGACAGAAGTCGATCAGGTGTTCCAAAATAGATCTTCGCACACACTTCTTTTCTCCCTTGTAAAACCATGCTGGAATATGTTCTCGTATCCGTGTGGAAAGCGTCCTCTGACTACGGCCAATGTACCTTGCTCCACAAGAGCAGGTGAACTGATAGATGCACATGGAGGCGGCCAGATGGGAGAGCTTATCTTTTACAGAAGTAGAGAACAACTTGCGGCTAGTGAACGTCATATGTAATTTTGCTGCATAGAACGTCTTACTGACTGATTTAGAGAGACGATTTTTGAGCATATCTGAATTCCAAGTTCATGAATCAGGTTTTCTTCGGAACTGTGTCGGTGACCAGTTTCGACTGCTTACCTTCATGTTGCTGTCAATAAATCGGTTAGGGTGGTAACTGTTTTCTGCTAGGGTGGCTTTTATGAAGTGAAGTTCCGAGTCAACGGAATCAGAACTACAAATTTTCCTTATTCTTGAGAAGAGCGAATGAATTAGGTTCCTTTTCCTGGAAATAGGCACCCAACTGTAAAAATTAGTTAGTTGTACAGCTTGATAATAAATTCGTTGAAAAGAGTCTCTTCGCTGAATATTGAGTTCTTAATGCTACAATGGGTCTTCAAATATGTTGTTCATTAATTTATGGGCATATTCTAAATCATTTCTCTTAATTATTACAAATGCATCATCAGCGTAACGTACCTGTCGAGATTTTCGGTTTAATTATAGACAGAGCTATTAAATTAATTGTAATCTTTGCATGGCGGCTTCAGCTATTAATGCTGATATGGGCGATGATCCCACTGGTGTTCCTTTTATCTGTTCATATATATATATTTGAGTATTGAATTGGTGGAAGTATGTTGTAAGGCATTCTATTCTATGAGTTCCATCATCCAAGTTGAACATCACTGCGTTTTTATGGTTTCATCACTATAGAGTGAGTAATTGTTGTATAGTTTCTGTTGCTAGATATTATTATTATTATTATTCTTGAAGCTTGTGTGCACGTTTAACTCGATTCGACACTAAGGGAATGCTAGGAACAAACAAACGTAAGTCGGCAGGAATCCAATGAAGGTCTCCGTCATTTATATGATCACTTATCGAGACTGGCATAATGCCAGTAATGTAACAAGATATACTCCTCTCTAGCTTCCTGATAGATTTCCAATGGACAAACAAAGGGATTGAATCACTGAAGTTGCTAACCAGCCGCACTTGTGGGATTTTATATATATTGACCATGCACATGGTCCGGGGTTCGATCCGCGGCCGACACACTCCTTTATCTCGCTAAGCCAGAAATTATGCTGGTGAAAACAGGAAAGGTTGGGCATGAGGCTGGCTAGCAACCCCATCCTGTAAAAATGAACATCACTGCTACCGAAATTTCAAGCCACTAGCTTCAAGAAGCCCTATGTTCCACTGGGGAACATGAAGGAAAAAAATTAGATAAGCGTAGTAGGTGATCATGTCCAAAATCTGACAACTGGATTGTCAGAAGTACGAAAATTTCAGATTTCTTATTAAAATGTTTTTCAAAACAGCAGTAGTATGTGTGGCATTAAAAAAATGTGAACACGAATGTTTGTCTATTATTTAGAGCTTACTACACACACGGGGCGAAAGGAAGCAGCCCAATATCCCTGTTGTCGCGATTCGCATCGACTGTGTGTTCACAAGCTAACTAAGAATCTCTCGGGTTCTTGTGTCATGTAGTAAATCCTGACAAAAAGTTATACGGGTGTCCAAAGTGTAGGCTTTACTCTGTTGACATGCGAAACGTCAGCAAGTCTTAATAATAATAATAATTTGCTTTATTCCAAAACAGTACTTGTGATACAGAATGGAATTCTCAGCATTTCACTACAGTATCGCGTCCAGTTTGTGTACATTAACAATAAATAAAATTCTACATAGATTATGGGTAGTCTCAGTTACTTTTGACTACAACATATTGCCATGTCGGTAGCAAAGCCAAAGTTGAACAGTGTTTGAAGGTGTTAGAAAAGTAGATTTACTAGCATATTCACTGGTGTGAGTGGTAACAAAAAGGTCGAGATATACAGAGTGTATGAAAGAATGAAGAAGAATGTTTTAAGTAGAGTTTGTAAGGAAAGGAGAAACAAAACAGCACATAACAAAGAGAGAGAGAAAAGGAAGAAAACTTTGTACTTATAAATGATATGAGTTGGAAAGACGAGATCAAATTGTTCTACTGACTATTTAATAAGTTATAAGTTTCATGCCTAATGCTTTCTTTGTCGCACAGAATACGAGCCAAATAGAGTATGGTTGAGTTTTTCTACCTGCTAGTGCGAGCTTATAGTTTTCTATATAAGCTTCTGGTCCTGCCTGATGAGATATACAACAGGGGAGAGTTGTGAATGAAGAGGGTGGCGTGAGTTAGATGAGTCCAAGTGCCTGTCTGTCGACCAGAATATTAACAAGCTGGTTAAGTGGCACGTCGCTTACCCTGCTGAAAAGCTTTAACACCCTACGTAATAAGATATAGTCCTTCTTCAGTAGCCCTGGAAAAACTAAGGGGGAACAAAAGAAAATAATACGCAGGATGCAAGAGTTAACGAAGCGTAAGAGTAAGAGGGTTGGGTGATACCAGAATGTCTTAATTTCTTGATGAAGAAGGTAAGACAGAATATTTCCTTAGAAATCGTCAAGATATGAGACGACCAGGAGCGATCAGCAGATAGAATGACGCCTAGGCATTCAATTTCCGACTTGGTTTCTATTTCAGTGCCATCTATGTTGCATACCTCGTGAGAACCAACCAGTTTGTTTAGGTCGGATTTATTCCTAAAGGTGAAATTGACTGTTTGGCATTTAGAGGGATTTATGATAAGACAACTGGCTGATTTCTGATAAAAAGCTATTTAGTTTAGAGCAGTCACTTTGACAGGCAAAGATACTGTCAGATCGTCAGCATATTCAACAAAATTAATGTCATTTGAAGATGGTAAGTCATGTAGAAGGAAAGAAAAGAGAAGTGGGGAGAGTACAGCACTTTGGGGGACACCAGCTTCAGTGAGCACAGCAGAGGAGGATTTACCTTTGTATACAGTGTACTACATTCTGTTTAAGAAATAGGAATGCAACCAGTTTGTGACCCAGGACTCAGTTTGTGTCATCGAGAGCTTATTTATCAAGAGACATCTAGGTACAGAGTCAAAAGATGAAGTGAAGTCGAGAAACGTGCAACGAACGTATTTGGCACCTTTATCTAATGATGAGACGATACTGTTTTGTAAGACGGCTGCAGGATCTAAAGTGCTCCTACCCTGTCTATATGATAATTGTTTGGGGTCTTCAAAAGTTTTACAGGGAGAGTTCAAGTTTAGGTAGTACTAGTTTTCCCATCAGCTTTAGAAACGGGGAAGTAATGGCAATGTGTTTTCTATTATTCAAAGCTTACTACACACAGGGGGCGAAAGGGAGCAGCCAATATCCCTGTTGCCACGATTCGCATCGACTGTGTGTTCACAAGTTAACTAAGGATCTCTCTGGTTCTTGTATCATTTTGTATATAGCAAAAATATTCATTCAGACATGAACAAACCAAACTTCAGAAAATTATTCTGATGCTCGCTAGTGACTTGCTACAGGATGGAGCTACCTGCAGTTCCAGTGAGGTCCAATGAGATGTCACGTGTGTGGATGAATGTCCCACCAACGACAATGGTTGGGGTCGCGCTAAATCACGAAGTTAGAATTCATGAGCCATCGAATCGGGTCCCAGTGGCTGAATGGTATACGAGCTTGCCTTGTAACCGGAAGGTCCTGGGTTCGAATCCCAGTGGGTGCGTACTGCCGATGATTCCCAAACTAGGATGAAACAGCAGCTGCCCAGTACTCCCTGGTTTTCAATGGTTCTCTAACTGATATCAGTCCGTGATCAACTCGTAAAACATGTATAAAACACAAAATAATTGAGCCAGCAAAGAATATTCTTTTCGATAATTTCCTCCTCTTCTGGCTCTACAATTATATACATGCATGTGCATGTTCATATACATAGAATATTCTAGATTAGTAGTCAATAACAATATTAGTGTGTGCTTTTTAAATAATATCGATTTGTAAAGTAAGACCACAATGGAATTACCACAGTTCATTAAAGATGCTCAAATAATAATAATAAAGATATAGTATCAAATAGAATATCAACTGAAATTAGGAAAATTCCACAAAAATTCAGGAGCGGTCATTCAAACCTAGATAGCCAAACGGGTAAGGATAATGTCTGAACCAACCAACTTCTTTTGGATGCACAAATTAGGCTTGTTAATCTGGATCCCAACAGCCTGTCAGCCAACCTCAGCAATATTTTGTATATTGTAAGCGACGTTTCTAAAATCACGTGTAGTAAATCCTGACCAAAAGTTATACGGGTTTCCAAAGTGTACGCTTTACTCTATATTGACACGCGAAACGTTAGCAAGCGCCTTCAACATGAACACGTTGTCTCCATTATTTAAATCTACATGGTATTTTGCACGTTTCCCCACCTCCTTCGCTCTCATCAGGAAGTTTACAACTGCTTCCTAAATTCCAACGGTCATAGAATGCTACTAGGTATAGGACTCCTCTTCTATATCATCCCATACCAATTATTAAATTTCCAAATATTCTCACTTGCATTCTCGTAACGTTAATCACCGAATTCTAAAGCTAATCCCTCAGTGATGTGGGCTGGAAAATGTTTCAGAAACATAACGTTAGGCACTTAGCAAGTCTTTAACATGAACAGGTTGTCGCTGTTATTATTATTTAAAACTACATGTTACCTAGAATCTCAGATACAAAAAAAGCACCAAGGGCCGAGGTGACAGGTAAACTGATATAAGTATAAAACCTGGGCACTGTGGTGGTAGAGTATAACTTCATTATGGATAAGATTTTATTTGATGCAATGGGAGGCGATCTCGTCCAGGATAAAAACCGCCAGATTCAACTCCAAAGGAAGGAAAGTGTCAATTATACAATGCTATGCACGGACAAACAACGCAGACCTCGAAAACAAAGAAGAATTCTACAGACAACTACAGGCAACAATGGACAATACTCCAGCTGGTGCCATTAAACTACTAATGGGAGACATGAACGCCAAACTGGGATCAGACAACACAGGATGGGAACTCAAGATGGGTAGAGAAGCTCTCGGAGAAATGAATGAAAATGGAGAACTCTTCGCCGACTTCTGCGCTTTCAATGAACTAGTGATTGGTGGCAGGGTATACAAACACAAGGATATCCACAAGGCTACATGGGTGTCACCAGATGGGCGAACCAAAAACCAATCAATCTCAAGGAAGTGGAGGCGCAGCCTACTGGACACGAAAGTAAGAAAAGGAGCATCGTACAAGGGACAATCCAAATCAAATTATAAGCTTTCAGAGAAACAGGAGCTGTAGATAGACCACAAGCCAAGTTCAACACTCAGAAACTGAAGGACCAGGACACAAAGGACATCTTCATTGCAAGCATAAAGGACAAAGCCGAGACACAAATCAACACTAGCGAAGAGGTCAGCGTCGAAGAGCATTGGAACAACTTGAAAACTGTGTGGAGTCAAACCTGCATGGAAGTTCTAGGCAGAAAGAAGAGAAAGGACAAACAATGGCTCACAACGGACACTTGGAAACTAATAGAAGAGAGAGGGATGGTGAAACAAAAGATTCTCCAGTGCACCGACGAGCAACAAAAACAGGATTTGAACGCAAGCTACAAGACACTGAACAAAAGAGTAAAGAAGAGTACCAGAGAAGACAAAAGAAAGTATTATGAAGCCATGGCCAATGAAGCAGAACAAGCAGCAGGTAAAGGAGACCTCGCAAAATTCTACCAAACAACTAGATACCTCTCAGGCAAAAATTCGTCACAAATTAAACCAGTGAAAGATGACAACGGAAAGTCAATCACCAAAGAAGTGGAGCAAAGGAAACACTGGGCTGAACACTTCAAAAGACTACTAAACCGACCGCCACCTACAACGCGCCCAACAATACCAACAACGGAAGCAGAATTACCAGTGAACATCAAACCGTCGACGAAATTAGAAGTTCTGAAGGCAATGAAAATGCTAAAAGCTGGAAAAGCAGCAGGACCAGATGGAATCCCAGCAGAGGCATTGAAAGTGGACCCAGAGACAACAGCAGACTTGATGACGCCACTACTGGAGAAGGTGTGGAAAGGAGGCAAAGTACCGGAGGATTGGAAGAAAGGATACCTATCCAAACTACCAAAGAAAGGAGACCTAAGTCAATGCAAGAACTGGCGCGGAATTATGCTCCTGTCCATCCCAAGCAAAATACTAAGCCGCATCATCCTGGAAAGGATCAAACAAGCCCTGGATGAAAAACTTCGACCGGAACAAGCCGGATTCAGGAGAAACAAGTCATGTATTGATCAAATCGCCACACTACGGATCATCATTGAACAAAGTTTGGAATGGCAGTCACCTCTCTATCTCAACTTCATCGACTTTGAAAAGGCCTTCGACAGCGTCGACCGAGAGGTGATTTGGAAACTACTTCGCTACTACCAAGGGGTGCCACCGACAATTATACATCTCATCCAACAGTTAGTTGTACGACAATGCTGCATGCCCAGTAATCCACAACGGAAAAATTACGGAATCCTTCCAAGAAGTGAGGACAGGAGTAAGACAAGGCTGCCTACTATCGCCAATGATTCTCCTGATTGCAGTAGACTGGATAATGCGACATACAGCGGGCAATGAGGGAACAGGCATAAAATGGACTCACACAAAAACGACTTGGAGCATCTGGACTTCGCCGATGATATATGTCTGATTTCCCACAAACTGGAAGATAAGCAAGCGAAAAGCAACAAGTTGGGAGAAGAAGCATCCACAGAAGATAGGACTTCCTTCAGGTGAACATAGAGAAAACAAAGGTGATGAAGATTCCAGGACAACAGCAACAGACAAGAATCAGCCAGCATGAATGGGAGGGACCTGAAAGAAACAACCTCCTTTACCTACCAATATAGGAAGCATCGTTTCAACTACAGGCGGAAGTGACGAGGATGTCAAAACAAGACAAGCTTTCACTACTCTCAAGTTTGTGTGGAGGTCAACTGCACTACTCAGCATGAAAATGAAAATAAGATCCGGATTTTCAACTCCAATGTGAAGTCAGTCAGTGCTACTCACTTTACGGATGGATCAGAGACTTGGCCAGCGCGTCATAAAGAGCACCTCAAACAAACTACAAACCTTCATCAACAGCTGTCTTCGCTCAATGCTACTGAAGATCAGATGGCCGGCCAGAAAAGATCAGTAACAGAGTGGGATCTCTGGTGATGAGCGAACCAACACAGCAGGAACCGATTGTGCAACAAATAAGCAGGAAGAAATGGAGGAGGTGGATTGGCTGGCCATACTCTGAGAAAACAAACCATTAAGTGAGTGACATCACTAGACAAGCCATTGCTCGAGTGGAACCCGACCGAATGGGAAGCGGCGAATTAGTTGGTCGTCAGTGCAAAGGTGACTTCGAGGAGGAGGAGGTCATGTGAAGGGGAGATGACGAAAGCATGTTAGCAGACTTGGTTGGAGCCAGGTGAAAACTTGAGCAGAGAACCGAACGCAATGGAGACGTGCGCGGCTCAAGAAGCCCTATGTTCCTCTAGGAATTAAAGGAAACAATGATGATAATAATAATATAATCTTATTATCTCATGGAAACACCAAATAGCACAGTGTTATTCCCACAAAAATCGTCTACAACAACACACCAATAAATAACCAAGTGTTTCCACGCAACGTATCTATCTATTTGACAAATCAACAAATCAAATGTCGATCATGTACATCATCATCATCCACAAGACAAAATAACCCTTCAAAAAGCCAAAAATAAGGTTGAGACTAGTAGTGTACGAGAGGAGGTTGAGAACTTTTTTTTCTGACTGAATTGCAGGATTGATTTCTCTGTGTGTAAATTGTCTTTCCACATTTATTTTTATACACAATTGGATCAAAGAAAAATCTGCAAAAAGTAGCAGCCTTCTTCATCCTCTGCTGTGCAAAACACACACACAATCCTCAAAGGTGGGTGTTTCAAACACTAAGGGAAATATAACTGTTGTATTTAGCTATATTTCGTTTCAGGATATCTGAACATGGGCCCATGACACGTTCAAATCGTTTACGATCAAGTTTTACACAACGCAGTGGACCTTGAGCGACAACAGTGGCTGCACGTGGCCGATCAAGAAGTAGGGCAATTTCACCTAGGCAGAAAAAAATAGAGAAAACAAATGTAGAGAAAATAAATGAGAGAGATAAGTTGGTTGGAAAGCTAAATAATAATAATAAAGCTAAATAATAGAAAACATCCCCATTAAGACATTCCGAAAACAGAGAGATTGAGCAGCGAAGAAATATTTACTTTTCAATTAGATCCTCATCTCTGGCTCTACTCTAATACACACGTATACACGCATTTTTATTACAATACACAACAGTTTACCAAACAAGTGGTGATATGTTTGTTAACAATAATTAGTCAGTGTCAAAATGTCAATGGGTTTATAGTGAACGAAGAAAATTAGCATACACACAATTAAAAGGTAGAAATGGTTAGAATAAATTAAATTTACAGAGATAACACGTAATTAAAGATGAAATGGTCAGAAAAAATAAAATAATTAGGACAATTAAAATTTTTTTAGTTTTTAAAGGTTTAGGGGGAGGGGGTCGAAGTAGTCCGGTTTACACATTCATGTAACGATGGCCAAGGAAGGTGGTTGTACAAATTTCTTCTGAACACACAGGTTTGGCTTCTTCAGGTGGATTCCTACAGATGTCTCTACTAATGAAGAGGCAAAGTGTTTGCCTTCTGTTTTCCGAGTTAAGTGGGGGGAGGGGTATGCTCAATAGTATGGAGATTAGATGTGTAAGGTGATAGGTGTAAGGTGAGAAAACCAATTTGATAAGGTGGTTGTGAAACTGCATCGATTGAGATGGCTAGGGCATAAGGTTATGCATACATGTGACAAAACACGGCCTTCCTCATACAGTAATTTTCTATTGTTTGATTTGTAGGACTTAGTTATGTCTTTACGAGTTGATCACGGATTGATATATCAGTTAGAGAAGCAATGAAAACCATACTATAGGAACAATTAATCTGATGCTCGCTAGTGACCACTAGCTACAGGATGGAGTTTCCTGGAGTCAGTCAGTTCTAGTGAGAAGTCGTAAGGTTCATCCAAATGTCACGTGTAAGGATGGATGGATGCCCCACCGACAACATTGGTTAGTGCCAGTCGCGCTAAATGCATCACGAATTGGTAGAAGTTAGAATTCATGCACTGGCTGGCCATTGAGCAATCGGGTCCCAGTGAGTGATGGCTGAATGGTATACGAGCTAGCCAGCTAGCTTACCTTGCTTGTAACCGGAAGGTCCTGGGTTCGAACCCCGGGTGCAGTGGTGAGTGCGTACTGGCGATGATTCCTAAACTAGGCTGATCAAACAGCTGGCTGCCTGGCAGTACTCCCTGGTTTTCTAACTGATATCAATCCGTGATCAGCTCGTAAAGTCATACAGTAATGCCAGGTGATAGAGGATTGAGATGGAAAGGAAGAATTGACAGTGGTCAGGTCAAATTAGAAAACATGGCATCATCAGCAGTCCATGAGACACCTTGAACTATCAGTTTGAGTCTATGTAAGAAGAGATGTAGACTGTAGAGCCCACTGGGGCTGTGTCGAGATGCCTGCCATATAACTAATACTGTCTGCTTTGAACACTTCCAATTAATATTATACAGTTTCTATGCACTTCTGTGTTTTTTTGATTGTGGCTGGCTGGCTGGATTCAACATAGAACTTGGCACCGAAGTGCAGCAGTTCGAGTTGACACGTTCCAAATAGCACAAAAAGGTAGACAAGAAGATGGATGAGTGAAGAGAATCAATCAATAGAGTTTTGACAAGTATAAGAGTGAAACAGAATGAGTAATGGTAGAAAGGAATATGAAAGATTACACAAGAGACTGAATACATCTGCGTAAGCCACTGACAACGATTTTGAGCCATGTCACCTATTGTCTGTCTCCAGCCATTGATTGATTCTTAGAGTCCCGAGGGCGGGCCCCAACCCGGAAGTCTGCATCTCCCTCCCGACCTGACTCAGTTTAACTATCAGGGATTTCATAGATTCATGCCATGTTTTTGTTTGGCGTGGCACCACTTACTCTTTTCCAACCTGCACCTATATCAGGTAGTAATACCCGTCGGGAGGGGAAGGCGATGGTTAGGCATGCGCAGCACGTCACCTAGCCATGTCAATCTATGTAACTTTATAGCCTCTTCGATTGATTTTCCCTCTTTGCCCAACACTCTACGCCTAACCTAACGTCGACATTACTTACCTTATTATGTCACCTAACGCGAGAAAGAGATCGTAAACATCTTTGGTCAAAAACAGACAATCTTTTCATGTCTTCCGCTCTCAATGGACACCTCTCACAGCCATAGAGAGGGACGGAGCGAACTGCTGAGCAGTACACACGTCCCTTGGTTGGTTGATAGCCGGATGTCACGCCTACACCCACGCCTACCCACCAGAGACTGTGTAAGTTAGCGAAAGCAGCCCGAGCTTTTGATTGTGGCTACCTGAACTGCTGCACTCCTGTGCTGCAAAATTCTAAATTGAAAAATCAGTTTGTGTTCATATTTGATATTAAATTAAAGTGTATTTTCAGTAGTGAGTAAATAGTGTTGGATGACGAATAAGCTGTAACAAAAGAAGGCAACAAGGGCCAGTCAGGCAACAGACCGTTTATCTTAAGGAAATCAACACATATATTTATCGATTTTTATGGACATACATTATTATTATTATTATTGATTATTGTTAGCAGACAAATACAGTCTTCTGATTGGTTGTTCCATCTGTTTGTGACTGTTTCTTCAAGGTCAGATCATCGGCTATCTATCTGCTAATTGTATCCGCCTACGCAAACAAAGTCTTCTGTGATTGGTTGTTGACTCGGTCTTTGTTCTTGTTTTCTCATGACCAATATTTGGGACATAAACATTGACGGAAATTACTGTCTACCAATTTTAGTTAGTAGACAGCTCTCACAAAACTAATAGACGTGGGCTAATTAAAGCTGTATAGATTTGATTATATCAGGTTTATGTACTGTAAAAAAAAACCAACGCCTTAGAAAACTGATAAAATCACAAAATAGTTCCTTTTGATTTCCGAATGAAGCATAGGATTTGAAGATGCACTAGCAGTGGCTTTTTTTTCTTCAACAGGGACGAGGGATGCTAGCTAGCTTCAGGTCGAACCTTCTGTCTTTACCAGATTTACTGGTTGTAGGCGCCGTTCACAGTCTCCGGTGGTTTACACCGATGACAGAGAATTTCAGCATTGAGGACGAGACTGTTTGATGGGTGAGAGCGCTTACAGCGGTGAGTTGTCATCTGAAGTGGTGGTGACGACTAGTGGTGTCCGTCAGAGGGGATGCCAATTATCCCCATTTCTATTCAATTTCATCATAGATGTGCTAAGTGGATTTAACCTTAATTCACTTCAGACACTCAGGGATTGACTTGCTACTATGGAAGGGAATAATCTCGTTGACTTAGAATATGCAGATGATATAGTCCTTATAGGCGGGGACGCTGACAAAATCCAGCAAAGTCTTCTGAACACCCTGAGCTGCAATCTACGAATGTTTGGCATGCGAACGATTCGCTCCTGCTGTCAAATGTAAGATGATGTTACAGGACTGGACTACACTGACTCCTAGTTTAGAAAAATGAGGAGTGAAGTGGTTGGTGGAGCACGTTGACCGCTTCACTTACTTGGGAAGTACCATCACAGCCAGTGGCCAACGGGTTGATCTCTGACGAAATCTCAGCTGAGTACGGATACACAGAGTGCAAGTTTCGCATATGACAGTTTGCGACGTCTCTGGCTTAGTAGACGTGATATCCGGCTGGCTAACGACCAAACGGCGGGTGTACTGCTAAGCAGTCCACTCCGTCCTCCTCTTCGGCTGACTGGCTGTGAGACCTGGCCATTGAGAGTGGAAGACATGAAAAGATTAGCTGTCTTCGATCATAGGTGCCTGCGTTCGCTCTATCTCCCTTGTGAATTGGTAAAATAGAGTGAGCAATATCGAGGTTAGCCGTCCAGTGAGTGCTAGGTATGGAGGGGAAATCAATCGACGAGGCCGTGAAATTACATCGACTGAGATGGTTACGACATGTGTTACTTAGGCCTAGTCGTCGATAGCCTTCACCGACAATGGGTAATGTTAGCTGACATAGTATTGGTCAGGTTGGAAAAGAGTTAGCTAGCGACGGTCAAACCAAAACACGGCTTCACTAGTCAATGAAATCCACAACAGTTAGTTTAAGCCAGCCAGCCACGTAGGAAGGTGTAGACTTCCTGACTGTCTGGTTGGGGTCCTCAGGATGACGGTGAAAGCCAATGAAGGCTGGAAACAATTAGTGACATGGCCGGCTCAAAATCGTTCTCAATGATGGCTGGCTCGCACAGATGCATCCACTCCTTGTGACTTATGATTTCCAATGAAACTATATTGTGTTCTTCGTTATTACTATTCCTTTGTCTCACCACACCTCTGTGTTTACTGTCTCTCTCCATTATGCATTTCTTCTACGTTCTTCTCTTGCTTTATGTGCTACATAGAGTGGAGGGAGTATGGCGGCGACTTAAATATATATATATATATATATCGAAAAAATACATTTTGAAGTTATACAACACTTACCGAAGTAGTCTGATGGTCGTAATTTACCCACTTCAACTTGTTCACCGGATTCGGATGGTTTCTGCAAGACAGCAGCTGTGCCCTATACAGGTGTAGAGAGAATAAACAGGGTTTGAGAAGTAAGTAAGTATATATTGTGAGATTTACACGGTGAAAGTTAAACTCTTTTTTTTATTCCTTTACGTTCCCAGTGGAACATAGGGCTTCAAGCTAGAGGCTTGAATTTTCTTTAGCAGTGTTTATTTTTTACAGGATGAGGTCGCTAGCCTCATTCCCAAGCTTTCCCCTTTACCAACTTTATTTATGGCTTAGCGAGCGAGGTAAAGGAGTGCGTCGGCCGGGGATCGAATCCCGGACCATGTGCATGGTCGACGAGCATCCTAACCGCTATGCCACCGACGCGATAGTTAAACTTTACAGAAATTCAATTCAGAGAGAATGAATTCCGATGTCTGATCATCATCACGAAAAACATGCTCACTTTCTCCAATGAGTATTTTTTGTGTTTTTTTACCTATTATTATTAATGACCGGGAGAAGTGACTAAGAAAAGTTGTCCATCATTCACTTTCTTTCGGATAACCGACATCTTTGCGTTAGTGTTTTCGCGTCATATATCTCTGCTTCAGACGAAAACGAGCGAACATAAGGGAGAATATAAGCCATTCACAGCAGTTATACCATATAAGGAGGGGACATCTGAGACACTCACTGCCTACGTAGGATTCTTAATAACAAAGCAGGAATTAAAGTGGTGGTGGCATTCAAACCTACAAACTCACTCAGGTAGGACAAGCTCTGTAGGCTAAAAGTCCCGGTTGACCCAATTAAGCAAAATAATGTAATTTACAAATACCTTGCAACGACTGTGAGTTAGGTCAACTACCTACATAGATCAAACTAGTAGATCGGGAGTAATCAGATTGTCGGAACATAAGAATTTAGCTAAGGTAAGAATGGTTGACCCCCACTACATTGCACTGCATGCATTAACACAACCATACAATAGCATGGTGGGAGAGGGGTAGATTCTAACAAATAATCAAGGTAGGTGGAGAGCGAGAGAGATTGATTACTGAATCCTGGCTGGTTCATCGAGTCTACACAACCAACACATGCAACAGAAATGACTCAATGCAAATACCAGAGATATGTATGGAAGATATTATTACCACCAGTCAGTGAAATCAGAGCAGGATAATAAATAATCTTAAATTGTATTCTATTTCAATTCAATTCACGTACATCACAACATTCTAACAAGTTAATCATTTATTATGACTATAGGAGAAACACTCGTCTTATTTCCCATCTGATTGTAATTGATCAATAACACTCATATTATTATTATTATTTCTGAATGTACATTATCCCATATTACTGATTTGTATTCAAATGTCTAATCATCAATTCCACTCATGTATATAAATGAAGGAAGACGAAAGTTGTGTGAGTAAGTGAGTGAGTGAGTGACTTGATATGATGATTATGAGTGGCAATAACAATTTGTGCTCGAAGTGTGTGGTCGCATCAGTTAATATGACTTACTGTCTAACACTACACACACACACTGTGTGACAGTTTATCAAAGTAGAAAATCTTATCCATGATGGAGTAGTTATACTCTAACACCACCACCACAGTGCCCACCCAAGTTTTATACTGATATCAAGCCATATACAACGAAGTCTAATACACACACACAAGCAGCAGTAGGATTTTTTGTTCTATCTCACAGCTATTAAATTATTTTTTTTAAAAATGAAATTCAAAAAATTAGGACACCTTTTAGACACAAAACAGCATAAAAAGTCAGTAAGCCTTTTTTGTGGATTTACTCTGTCTCTTCACCAGACAATCCTATCGTAACTCAGCTGATGACGTTTACATGTACGAAGAAGTCTAGTCAGTCCTCCTCGTGTGAACAATAAGTATTCATTAGCTTAAAAATCCCCGTTGAGTCATATGAAAAAGAGGAGACGTTCAGCGAAGAGACTCTTTTTAGCGAATTCATTCACACAGCTAACTGTACAATCCCATTTAAACATAATTATTTGTGTGTGTGTGTGTACATGAGGTTTATCAAGTATAGATAATTAATCAGGTAATACAAGAATGATCCTAGAATATAGAAACAAGGTTATAATTAGACAGCAACTAAAGTAAGATTGAGTTAGTTAGTTAGTAAGTTAGATGACGTAATATAATTGACTAAAATGTTTCAACTTAGATCAGAGGTAATTACAGGTAGAGAGAGACTAAGTAAAAGTGAAATTGAGCAAATAAGTTGTATGACGTAACATAAGTGACTAGAAATTGAGCGATGGTCAAGTTAGTAACAGTGGTAGTGAGGTGCGGAAATTAAATCGGGTGGGGGTAGAGAACAAGAAGGTTGAAAATGTAAAACATTACAATTGTAAAGACAAAATATTGCTAATGAAGAGACAGAAGAAAAGATTAGGTAGAATTTACATGTCGGCTAATAAGATAAATTACGTCCATTGCAAGTGTAGTGATTGAACGAACTTCTTCTGTATGCAGAGTTCAGGACTCACCGAGTGAATCGCCATTGCTTCTGCAGTTTGAAGAAATCTGATTCGTACACCTTTAGGAAGACTATTTCTTACTCTGTAGACGACTTTGAAGTTTGTTTGCGGTGTATCTTGGTGTCCGGATCCTATCAGATGTTCTAAGATGGAGCTGCGGGGGAATCGTTTTTCCCCTTTGTAAAACCATGTTGGTAAGTGCTCGGTGACACGTTTTGAAAGCGAACGTTGCTTACGGCCAACATACCTGGCTCCACACGAGCAGGTGAATTGGTAAATAAACACATTGATGAGGTCAGCAGCGGTAGCTTATCCTTCACGTTCACATGAATCATAGGTTTTGTGGAGAAGGTTAGTCGTAGTTCAGCTACGAAGAAGGTTTTCTTAAGTGAGCGCAACAGTCGAATTTTTATTGTTTCCGCAGATATATCTCCATTGAATTGAAGGTTCATGTAGAGTACTTTTTTTGGGACGCTAAGCGTGGGCGGCTTTCGCGGTCTAGAGTTCGTAGATTTTGCAATAAATCTTTCTGGATAACAATTCTCGACGAGGATTCTCTTGAGATTGTCCAGTTAATCTTCTATGGTGTCCGGGGTGCAAATTCTGCGAACCCTGTAGCTGAGTGAACGGATCAGGTTTCGTTTGGTGTATAGGGGTACCCAACTGTGAAAGTTAGTAAGCTGTCCGTTCCACGTCGACCTTTTCAGTGTTCCATCCTGTTCTCGTCTTGTTAGTTGGACGTCAAGTATTCATCTGACTGGTAGTAGTAACACGGACTGTCATGGAAGACACACTGTATTATTTGTGGTGCAGCTCAACCGGTCAACCATTAGAGCGTTATGTGTTTCACTACTTTGGATACACACACAAACAAACACACTTGCTAAGTCTAACACAGTTGGATAGTTGCCGGGAGTTGTTTTATTCACACTGTTTTTTAAGGAAGCGCCAATCGCAGTATATTATATTATTACTATTAATTCCTAGAGGAACATAGGGCTTCTTCAGCCGTGCACGTCTCCATTGTATTCGGTTCTCTGCTAAAGTTTTCACCTGGCTCCAACCAAGTCTGCTCACATGCTATCATCATCTCCTCTTCACATGACCTTTGCATTGGCGACCAACTCGCCGATTCTCATTCGGTCGGGTTCCACTCGAGCAATGGCTTGTCTAGTGATGTCATTTCATGGTTCGTTTCCTCAGAGTATGGCCACAATCCAATCCACCTCCATTTCTTCTTGCTTATTTGTTACACAATCGGTTCCTACTGGTTGGTCCGCTCATTGGCAGACATCTCTCCCTGGTGCTGATCGTTTCTGGCCGGCCATCTGATATTGAGTGGCACTGAGCGAAGACAACTAGCTGTTGATGAAAGTCTGTAGTTTGTTTGAAGTACTCTTCATGACGCGCTGGCCAAATCTCTGATACGTATTGTGAGTGGCACTAACTGACTTCACATTGGAGTTGAAAATCCGGATCTTATTTTCATTTTCATGCTGAGTGATGAGTGCTGTTGACCTCCACACAGACATGAGAGTAGTGAAAGCTTGTCTTGCTTTCCCGATCCTCACTTCTTTGATATCCTCGTCAGTTCTGACAACTTGTTGCTGCTTTTCACTTGCATATCTTCCAGTTCGTGGAAAATCAGACATATATATCACATCGGTGAAGTCCAGATCCTTCAAGTCTCTTTTTGTGTGAGTCCATTTTGTACCTGTTTCCTCGCTGCCCTGCACTGCCCGCTGTCTGTCGCATTATCCAATCTACCCCAATCAGGAAATTAATCATTGGAGATAGTAGGCAGCCAGCCAGCCTTGTCTTACTCCCGTCTTCACTTCTTCAAAGGATTCCGTAAGTTTCCCTCGGATTATAATACATAAAATTAATTGCGTTATTTCGATATACAGGTTTTTTGACACTTAATCAATCAGTAGCCATTTGTTGTACATACAGTCTGTCTTGGTAGCCAATCAATCACTTACTAAAAGATGCATATCATCAGCACCAGGCTGCCTACTATCGCCAATGATTTTCCTGACTGCAGTAGATTGGATAATGCGACAAACAGTGGGCAATGAGGAAACAGGCATAAAATGGACTCACACAAAAAACTTGGAATATCTGCACCTCGCCGATGATATATGTCTGATTTCCCACAAACTGGAAGATATACAAGCGAAAAGCAACAAGTTGGCAGAAGAAGCATCAACGATAGGACTTCAGGTGAACATAGAGAAAACAGAGGTAATGAAGATTCCTGGCCAACACCACCGACAGCAACAGACAACAATCAGCCAGTATAAATGGGAGGAACCTGAAAGAAACAACCTCCTTCACCTACCCAGCTAACTGAGAAGCATCGTTTCAACTACACGTTGACGGAACTGACGAGGATATCAAAGCAGTGAGGATCCGGAAAGCAAGACAAGCTTTCACTACTCTCAAGCCTCTATGGAGGTCAACAGCACTACTCAGCATGAAAATGAGGTCCGGATTTCCAACTCCAATGTGAAGTCATTCAGTGCTACTCACTTCACGGATCAGAGATTTGGCCAGCGCGTCATAAAGAGCATCTCAAACAAAATGCAGACCTTCATTAACAGTTGTCTTCGCTCAATACCACTCAAGATCAGATGGCCGGTCAGAAAACATCAGCAACAAGGTGGGATCTTTGGGAGCGAACCAACTAGGAACCAATTCTGAAACAAATAGGCAGGAAGAAATGGAGATGGATTGGCAGGCCATACTCTGAGGAAACCATCAAGTGAGTGACATCACTAGAGAAACCATTGCTTGAGTGGAACCCGAAAGGGAAGCGGCGAGTTGGTCGTCAGTGCGAGGGTGAGGGTGACTTGGAGGAGGTCATGTGAAGAGGAGATGAAAACGTGTGGGCAGACTTAGAGCCAAGTGAAAACTTTAGCAGAGAACCGAACGCAATGGAGACGTGCTCGGCTGAAGCCCTATGTTCCTCTAGGAATTAAAGGAAACAATAAATAAATAAATAATAATAATAATCAGCACCAGGAAAAGTCAACAAGTATATATAACAATTATGTATAGCAATAGGTATTTTCAATACGTACCTCTGTGATGATGAAGAAATCATCACCGTGTTCCCCTTGACGAACAACAACCTCACCATCTTCAAAACGAACCGGTTCCAGAGCATCGGCAACAGTTAAACGCTCCCACTTGTCAAGATTGTCTGAAGAATATAATGTAAAAGTATATTTTTTTGTTGTTATCAGATTTGCTACTTTTAACAAAGACAGTTTGTGTGTGACAGCGGGTTATTTTAGATTTATCTGGATTTGACACTTATTGTTGATGCACTAGACCAATTGTTTCACTGATGACTTACAATTTCCAATGAAACTATATTCTGTTCTTCGTTATTACTATTCCTTTGTCTCACCACACCTCTGTTTACTGTCTCTCTATTATGCATTTCTTCTGTTGCTTTGTGTGCTACAAGGAGGGAGTATGGCAGCGACTTGAACTGGTGCACATCAGTGCAAAGTGGTTCTATGTCGAAAACAGACAGACATATAAAACACGGCGATATAGTCAGTCTTCATGAGCTGTGTGTGGGGGGGGGCGTAAAGTTATAGTTAATGAGAAAGGCAACTGATATGGAGCTGCATTAGTTCAGATGGCTAAGACATTTTTTGTCGCTCGCAACAAACCGCCATCTGGCTGCCTCGATTACCAATAATCAGCTGCGATAGAACAACTACTAGCTTGTAAAAGGTTTACATGTGTGTTGAAATCAGGAAAAATATCGCCAATCCGTGAAGTCTTCACAACTGTTGGTTTTCAGCCATGCAGGAAAGCGTGGCTGATGGCTGATAGCCTCAAGATGATGCTAGGAGTCTATGGTTGGAGACTGTTCATTATATCGCCCAAAATAGTAATTTTATATATATATATATATATATATATATATAGTTAGTACTTTCGTGAAAAATATACCTTGAAAAAATTCAGTTCAGCTCATTTACTGTTAACATGATGCAGTTCGCAAAAATAAAAATAAAAACATTAATAAAACACAAAATATGATTGAGCCAGCAAAGAATATCCTTTTCGATAAATTCCTCTTCTTCTAGCTCTACAATTATGTGCCGACCTAAAGCTGCTACCTTGAAGTGGTGGTTGGGCTTGAACACCGCAATGACCCAACAAGCTATACTGGCTGGAACTTATGTTCCTGCAGGTCCTACCATGCCACAAAGGTTGTTTGGATAGCGGTTAGACTAAAAGCAGTTACCCAATCCAATCCTATGACTTCAAATAAATCACAAAATATCATGCCGGATCGGTCGGGGCCCGGATTAACAACGACCGCGCTTTCTGCTGCCGTGTCACAGGGCAGAAGTGATAAATACGCTACTGAGACACACCAAATGAAAAACAACAAACAAAAGCAGGCCGTGTGTGACCGGCCTCAAGCAGTTGTCCCCTGGGCTCTGCGGTCACGCAACCAACTTCCACGGTGTGGGCAGCCGGGAAGTAACAATCGCCCTCACAATCCAGCCAGCCAGCATGTTTATATACATAGAATATTCTAGATTAGTAGTCAATCACAATATTAGTGTTTTTTTAAATAATATCGATTTGTAAAGTAAGATCACAATGGAATCACCACAGTTCATTAAAGATCCTTAAACTATAATAATAATAATAATAATAATAATAATAAAGATATAGTAGCAAATAGCATATCAACTAAAATTAGGAAAATTCCACAAAAATTCAGTATCGATCATTCAAACCCAGATCGCCGAACGGGTAAGGATAATGTCTGAACCAACCAACTTCTTTTGGATGCACAAATTAGGCTTGTTAATCTGGATCCCAACGGCTAGTCAGCCTCAGCAATATTTAGTAGTCGAACTCTTAAGGCGAAATTGAGATTTGTTGGTTGGTAAGCGGTAAATGACCCTGAAAGCTGCCGCCTTGTCAACATCACTCAGTCTTGTGTTCTGTATCCACAAGATGAGATAGAATAGCGCTGGGAATAGATTTTGTTTGTCCTTTACTTATCCAACCAACTACTGTGCAGGATGGGTGATGTTCGAAAATTCGACGAGAAACACGCCTAATTGTGTACGGCCTATGCAAGTAACTGCCTCACTCCACAGGAGCAGGCAGATTGGTAGATACCCATGGAAGAGGCGAAATTAGGCAGTTTGTCTTTTACTCCCGAATGAACGCAAAATAGGGTTGGGTGGTTTAGAAGACACAGCGTAAGTCAGCAGCAGCACTGAATGCTCTTCGTTTTACGGCATTTCTACACCATGCTCAATACGGCTCAGAGCAAACCAAATTTTTTCTTACCAAACAAAACGAAATGATGGTCACCAAATGTTCAACACAAAAATTACTTTCTGTGCTATGTCTATCCTTCAGTGTTTTAGATTTTTAGTGTTTCCTTTTATGCTGCTCCATTGATAACATTCGCATCATTTCTACTTGGAGTCTCGTGGGGATCGATGCTAGATAGAATGCCTGCCAAAAACTACGCATGTGATTCAGGTTCAAGTCCCAACTGACGTACATCACCCAGTTTATTAAGTGATAGTTGTAAGTCTAGAAAAGACGGAAAACTGGATGGATGTGAGGCTAACAAGCCTATCATCTTGTAAAAACAACACTATCTTGCTACTAAAAACTTCAAAGTTTGAATGAAGCCCTATGTTCTACTCGGAACACAGGACAATAAAAACAAATAATGAGCTGACATTGGTTAGAGAACCATTGAAAAACTAACCAGCGAGTACTGGACAGCTGTTTCCCCCGTCCTAGTTTGGGACTCTTCATCAGTACGCACCCACCACCACGGGGTTCGAACCCAGGACCTTCTGGTTACAAGGCTAGCGAGCTAGCTCGTAAACCATTAAGTCACTGGGACCCAATCCAATGGCCACTCAGTGCATGAATTCTAACTTCTGCCAGTTCACGACATAGTGCTCGTGATGAAATCCTGTAACCAATCAACCAAATCCCTACAAACCAATATTTGAACTGCAAGCAAGATGAAATATGTAAATCCGTCATGATAAGGTAGGTCTACTAGTCTTATTTAATCAGATATGCGCATAGCTTTATTTCTCTTCTAAGGCGGGCAGGCTAGCAGGCGATAAACACCATCGATTCATATATGCAAAAAAGGTATAAATAATTAAATCAGCCCAGACACAGTTTTGTCAATTCAAAAAAAATAAATGAAATAAAACAATTTTAGTGAAAAAGAAAGACTTAGTTACAACAACTACATTATTTAATAGGATTATTCTATCTGTCTTCAGGTACCTGAAACAGGAAGAGAGTCAGTTTTGCGTGACCGCAGATCCCAGTAGGGGACACAACTGCTTGAGGCCGGCGGGCCGGTAACACACACGGCCTGTATGAACTGGTTTCTTGGTTTGGTTCCGCATTAGTAAACGTACCACCGGTTACGAACCACCGTAGGTGGGGTAAGTCGGGATGTACAATTTTTGAGGTGGACCTTTTCTAACCCCCTCCTCGTCTCCAGCAGAGTGGAGAGACAGCATAGCTGGCTGGCATGCTGGTCAACATCTGAGGGAAACACCTTACCGTTGCTGTTACATCTCTGTTCCCCAGTAGTGTACGACTTTGCCCACAGACGACTTCCAGCATATAGTGTAAAAAATCCTACACGCTATATCGCTAGCTGCATTTAGTATATTCCCTATCATAACAGAATCTTCCTGGCATGGTAGGTAGGATCTGCAGGAACATCAGTTCTAGCCAATGTAGCTTGTTGGGTGATTGTGATATATGCAAGCCCGACCACCACCACCACCGCGTCAAGATAGCAGCTATCGATCGGGAATAGGATTATTAGTTAGTTTTTAGTGATATAATCACGAAAGCTCTTCCCTGCCCTCTGATTCCTCAGATGAATATGAAAACTAGAGACCAATGGTCAGTCACTTCATAACTGGAAAGATAAAGAAAGAAGGAAGAGACATCCTCCTCCGCAAATACAATAACACAACAAAAACAATTTAGAAAATATTTCTCGTATTGGTTTGTAGGGATTTAGTTGATTGGTTAAAGGATTTCATCATGACCAGCTGACATTGGTTAGAGAACCATTGGAAAACCCACCAAGGAGTACTGGACAGCTGTTTCGTCCCAGTTTGGGACTCCTCATCAGTACGTACCCACCGCTTGGGGTCACGCTATGTCGTGAATTGGCAGAAGTTAGAATTCATGGGCCATTGGATCGGGTCCCAGTGAGTGGCTTAATGGTCTACGAGCTCGCTGGCCTTGTAACCAGAAGGTCCTGGGTTCGAACACCTGTGGTGCTGAAGAGTCCCATACTAGGACGAAACAGCTGTCCAGTACTCTCAGGTTTCCCATTGTTTCTCTAACCAATGTCAGCTGGTCATGATGAAATCCTGTAACCGAAATATTTCTCATTGAAAAAAACAAAAAAACAACAAAAAACTAGCAGAGTTAATTGTGCATGTAAAATTTACCTAGAATAGGTACACGGCACAAGAATTCTTGATACATTTTTCGTCGACGTATTGTACTTCCCATTAATATTCTTCTGTAAGAATCACGATCAATACCCCATAGTTTAACTTCTGTTTTCGCCTTGACTGTAGCTGCTCTAGGTGTACCGTAGATAAGCGCCAGTTCACCAAAACTGCCTCCTTCACCAATTGTACTACTGTATTCATTATTGAGGAATATCTATATGCAAAAAAACAACAACAAAATGAATCTATAGTTAGACCTCACTGGTCACGACTTCTCACTAGAACTCCAGGAAACATCCATCCTTCTTCTCACATGATTTACCTCTCTCAGATGAAATCAACTTCGTCAAATATGCAGACGACCTGTCTGTATCGTCTCCCATTAAGTCTCAGTCAGACTGTCTCAAATTAAATAGCTTCCCGTCGGACATCAGTGAATGGTCCAAACTTAGTGGTCTCATGCTGAATCCCTCAAAATGCCAGACTATTGACTTCTCCCTTAGGCATAAACGAGATCTACAAACACTAGTAAGTTCTCATGAAGACTGTTGCATTGAGGGGACTAAAACTGAAACTAAGTCCAATGCAAAATACCTCGGTCTAGTTCTGTCTTCCGACCTTACTTGGACATCTCATATCCTAAAGATTTCTAAGAAAGTGTTCTGTCTGTCTAACCTACTACTACTTTAAGAAACTTAGACAATCTGGAATCACCCAACCTCTACACTTTCACAATTTGTCAACTCTTGTATCTTACCTACTCTACTTTACTGCTCCCCGTTAGTCTTTCCTGGGTTACTGAAAAAGGACTACACCATCCTGAGAAGGATGTTGAAGGTAGGACTAGTGGTGTAAAACTCAGTCAGCTAGTCACTGCATTAGTTGAAAGGCATCTGAATACATGCGAAAAATGGTCTAAAACCATACTCTCCGACCCCCAACACCCCTTCTATTCCCAACTCTCGCCTTTTATCTCATCATGTAGAACCAGAAATCAGTATAAAATAATCTATGCTCGTACAACCAAGTACAGGAACTCAACGATACCATACTTAGCCCGTGTTCTAAGTGACAGAGACAATGTTAAGCGCGAAACTTATGACTTGCTTTGTTGTTAATAACATAATTTTGGGCTCTTTGATTTCTCTCTTATTTTGTATTCTATAGTGAACTCCTTCTTAAACATACTTAGCTACGTGAATCATTAACATTGGCTTACTTTTTGTACTTTACTGTATTCCTTCTTTTGTGTATCTACTGGTTCCGACTATATTAACACTATGAATTGTACAAAATTGTCCTGTCATTAACCATCATGTAATTATTAGTTTTTGTGGTTGTTTTTTTCTATTTTTTTCGGCAATCTTAACTGACAATCATTGGTTGTGAACGCCATAGTCACCACCTTAAAATTTTGTATTATGCAGGATTACTCACATTACCACTAAAACACTGCATTAGACCTGACAATGAAAAACAAAACAACAACCCTGAAATGTTATTTTATGATTGTTTAGTATGGGTTGTTTCAATCAAATTAACTGACCATCTTGGCGATAAACATACCTAAATATCATTTCATAACTTCTTGTATGACTATAGCTTTACTGTCACCATGCATAATCACATCATAGCTTCCACTACCCAGTACTGAGTTATTATTAAATACTGTTTATTTTCCTTTCTACTTGATATTTTTTCACATTTAAAAAAAATTATTTTGTGTTTTTCCTGTCTTTTTTGCTGTTGGTGTCTTTATATTTATTTATTTATTTTTTGCAATACTCCTTTTAAATGTTTGATAAAATTAGATGCAAATATTGCAGATATGTGCTGAAAATTCCACACTGCACCACTAGTACTGTTTCTGGAATAAAGCAAATTATTATTATTATTATAATCTGTCCCGAAGAAGATATACTTCTGCTTAATCTAGAATTTAAAGTTGACATTGAAGCAGAAATCCTTCGTAAACGCCTCTGCAAATCTCTGAGAAAGACATACTTTGCCACAAGCCTACGACTAACGTTTTTTTTTCCTGTAAAAAGCAACTGTTCAGGAAAAAACGCGAAAGATAAGCTGTTGCATTGAGCCCCACTTCAGAGTGCCTATACCACCAGCAGTTTACTTGCTCTTGCTACTGCGGGGCTCCTGAGTACATCGGCCGTACCATGCGCCAACTTACTTGAAAAACACACTTAGGTAATCCAAAAATATTGAGTGATAATGTTGTGTATTCATTTTTTCTGCTTCCTGAAACGTAAATTCCCATGTTTTGTTGTCAAAGCATATTCATGATTGACCTCTACGGTCATCTCCAGGGTCTTTTAGACACATTCTATAGAGCTATACAGACTTGAAAAGAAAATTAGGCGAAGAATTCACTCTCCACTCACGCATTTCTTTTGAATTTAACTGTAACCAATACACACTGACGGACGGAAATTACCATCTGCAATAAACGATCTGATACGGTCAAGGATACCATGCCAGGAAGATTGTGTTATGATAGCGATTAGACTAAAAGTGGTAGAGCACGTTGACCGCTTCACTTATTTGGGAAGTACCATCACAGCCAGTGGACAACGGGTTGATCTCCGACGAAATCTCAGCTGAGTACGGATACAGAGGGCTAGTTTCGCATATGCCCGCCAGTTTACGCCGTCTCTAGCGTAGACGCGATATCCGACTATCGGCCAAAGGGCGAGTGTACTGCTCTGCAGTCGGTCCGCTCCGTCCTCCTTTATGGCCGTGAGACCTGGCCATTGAGAGCAGAAGACATGAAAAGCCTAGCTAGCTGTCTTCGACCATAGGTGTCTGCGTCCTATCTCCCGCGTGAAGTGGTATAATAAGGTGAGCAATATTGAGGTTAGCCGTCCAGTGAGTGCTAGGTAAGGAGGGAAAATCAATCGACAATGAGGCCGTGAAATTACATCGACTGAGATGGTTAGGACATGTGTTACGTATGCCTAGTCATTGCCTTCCTCCACGGGCAATGTTAGCTTATATAGGGCCAGACTGGAAAAGAGCTAGCGGTGGTCAAACCAAAACATGGCACCAGTCAATGAAGTCCACAACAGTTAGTCTAAGCCACGTAAGAAGGTGTAGACTTCCTGTCTGGTTGGGGTTCTCGTGACGGTAAAAACCAATGAATGTTGGAAACAATTGGTGACATGGCTCAAACTCATCGTTCTCAGTGGCGCAGATGCATTCACTCCTTGTGACTTATGATTTCCAATGAAACTATATTGTGTTCTTCGTTATTACTATTCCTTTGTCTCACCACACCTCTGTTTACTGTCTCTGTATTATGCATTTCTCCTACTTTCTTCTCTTCCTTTGTGTGCTACAAGGAGGGAGTGTGGCGACTTGAACTGGTACACATATTTGCAAAGTTCTATGTCGAAAACCGACCGACGGATTAGACTAAAAGCAGTTAGCGATATGGTGTGTAGGATTTTTTACACTATGTTGGGAGTCGTCTGTGGGCGAAGTCGTACACTGGTGGGAAAAAGGGATGTAACAGCAGTAAGGTGTTTTCCACACTCACACGACCAGCATGCCAACCAGCTATGTTGTCTCTCCACTCTGCCGGAGAGAGGAGGGGATTAGAAAAGGTCAAGCCTAAAAATTGTACATTTAACGTCAGGACCATCTGCCACAAATCGGACAACAAGAATCACTCGGCCATAACTCTGGCATGGATTTATGTTGGATCTCGGAGACACACATAAAACGACCCGAGTGCGGCTATTACTTAACCCCACTCAGCCAAAAAGTGAATTTGCGGAATTATAATGATAATTCCACCCAATGTATAAAAAAAGGAGCCGATTAAGTAGTACAATAATTTACTACTATTCTAATTTCAAATTTCGAAGACAGGTAGAAGTATATGAGTGTAAACCACACATTCAAATAAAAGAAACTAAACAGTATCTTTTCGACGAAGTCATCAACTAGACAAAGCTGTGCATTCGTGTATTTATAACAAATGGATGGGAAAAATCCAGAATAATTTCTGGTTAAGAGTCAGATTAATAGAATTACAATTAGGAATAATTAAAATGCCACAATAAACAGGGTGGTGGGACGGATAAAGCTCAGACAAAGTAGCATCATAATAATTACTGAGAAGATTGGATACAAACGCGTCCAACCCTTGTCCCTGCCTGCCATGGCCATCATACATAGGTAATTCTTCTAAGAGTGACTATCCCATTGACTTTCTTATCCAAACTTTCTGTTTATTCATGTTATTTTAAAGTTTTTCTTAATCCCTTCACTATTTACATCACCATATTTTCATATCCGAACATTCTGTCTATTTAGGCGTTTTATTATTTCTACATATTTACATATTCTTATTAGTTATGATCCCACTAGATTTTGTAATCCAAACATCCTGTCTATCCATTTTGTTATTTCTACATTTCTAACCCCTAATTGCACAATCAATGCCAATCTTCCCAGTAATTATGATGATGCTACTTTGTTTGAGTTTTATCCGTCCCACCGGCCTGTTTATTATGGCATTTTAATTCCTAATTGTCATTTTATTAATCTGACGCTTGACCAGAAATTATTCTGGAACTTTCCTACCCATTTATCATAAATACACGAATGTACATCTAGTTGACGATGACTTCGTAGAAAAGAAAATTTTCTTCCTCGCTGCAACCATCTTTTTATTAATTCCTGAAGCTGGATTCAGGAAAGGCAAATCATGTTCTGACCAAATTGCAACTCTACGCATCATAATCGAACAAAGTATGGAATGGCAATCAAATCTCTACCTCAACTTTATAGACTTTGAGAAGGCCTTCGACAGCGTTGACCGCGAAGTAATTTGGAAACTACTCGAGTACTACGGCGTACCCCAAATATTCATCAACCTTATTCAACAGCTGTACGACAACGGCACATGTCAAGTGATCCACAACGGAAAACTCAGCGAAGCGTTTGGAGTAAACACAGGAGTCAGACAAGGGTGCTTATTATCACCAATGATATTGCTAATTGTGGTGCACTGGATTATGCGTCAGACAGTGGGAAACGAGGAGACAGGGATATCCTGGACCGACGTGAAGAACCTAGAAGACCTGGATTTCCCGCGTGGATGATTTATGTTTGATGTCACACAAAATCGAAGACTTACAAGCGAAAACCGACAAAGTGGTCGAAGAAGCAGCAAAGACAGCACTCCAGGTGAAC